TTATCGATTCTGGAGAATGATCCATGCGCACTTGAGAAAAATGTGTATTCTGGTTTTTTTAGGTGCAGTGTTATATAGATGTCTGTTAAGTCCATGAGTTCTGTGTCTTTGTTTAGAGCTCTAGTGTCTTTATTTACTTATTGTCTCATTGATCTGTACATAATCCGGTCAAAGTTCACTGACCCCCATGGGGGTCGGACCTGTGCGTATATTCTTCAAAATATTATTCTTAGAACTTTGTTTTAAATGGTGTTGATCTCTACATTTGTTTCTAGATCATGTTAATAGTTATATTTTGTAAATGTATTAAAATTTTATTTGTATTTTCAGGTTTAATACAGATTTTTCTACATGTCTTTTATCTACATTTATTTATCTGTATTTATCCACATGCCTTTTTTGTTGTTGTTTGTGTACCATTCATGAATCTCAGATCTTTTTCCATTGGTGGTTTTTATTTTTTTCTATTGATTGATTGATTGATTTTAATTTATACAATAGTTGGGGTACAGGTCAGAGGGCATGGGAGGGTTTTACGATCTACCAGAGACAGTCGGGAACAAAACAGGCAGATTGACTAAAATACACTGCTGAGGGCAGCAGTGGACGAGACAGGAGTGGTCTCCCATGACATGTGGGAATCTCCCGCGCTGCAGAGCAGGCTGAGGACAGCTTCATAGCACTGTGTTCAACCTGCTGTCACTGTGGAGGGCCGGTTTTTGTTTTGTCTAAAGCAAATTCTATAGAAATTTCTTAGAGGTATCTGTTAATTCTTTTTAATTTGTCATAATGTCATATTATAAGAAAGGTATCTGAGTATGTACAATTTGGTTTTGGGAATTTTCTTCTTACGATACTTTTTGTTCCTCTGAGAAAGAGAAGGTTTTTTGTATATGGAAATTAGTAGATTATTTTACAAAATTAGGTTATGAATAAAGATCTCAGATTTATAAAGTCACACCAAAATTAAATAATTTACAATATGAGGGAATTAAGAACATAAATATACACTACTGATAGCAGAATAAGACTTTACAAAAACAGTTACGAAGCAGTGCAAAAAATACTCCAAAAGTCATTTTCAGACACCTCAAAATAGCATGTAAAATTTTAAAATAGTCTTTGGCTTCTGACTTTTGGAAAATTAATGTATATTTTACATTAATTTATCAGTAGGGCTTCTGTAAGTTTTCTTTCTTTTAATTTACTACAAACTTATTACAATTATATTTGATAGATGTTTCAGTTTTTACAAAAGTATGAGACTTAATTTAGCAACTTTGAGGAGTTACAGTATACTATACTATACAATACTGTAACTGTTGAACCACTGAAATATGAGAATTAGACTCTCAGTTTGACAAAATTCTTAGCACTAGGCCTGTGTAATATAACTTCTCATCTTTCTGTCTTAAAATCCTGTTAGATGGACCATCTTGTAAAATTCATTTTAATGATTCTTAAGCTTTCACTTTTCTTTTACTTCTCTTAGTCTGCTTATTAATAAAACAATTGGAGTTTATCCATTTTGTTGATAACTAAATATTAATAAAGATTTTTAGTTTGAATTACTATTCCACAATCCTTGAATTTCTGATTTCTAATGTTATACTTTTCAGAGTTTCTGATTATTTTTCTCATTCTAGTCAATATTAAATAAATTTTCTTCCTCATATTTTTATTATACTGAATATATTGTATTATCTATAGTTTTATCAATTGTTTGTGTAATTTGATATTTTCTCAACAAATTTCAACACATTTTACCCCAGTTCTATGACCTTTCTAGTTAAGAACTCATATTTCATTGAACCACTTTTTCCTGAAGGCTAAGCTAAAATATAAAATAATCCCTGCTTAAGAATTTTATTGTTTCTGCTAAAATGCAAAGGACTTTATACCTCAAAGAGTCGGTAACTGTTTTTTTTTAGCTTGGTATTTTCAAGTATATGTGAATACCAGCCCAAAATTCTATCATGTTCAGCTGTGGGCATTTGTTTTTTTTGTTCCTCTTCCAGCAGCAGAAGTAATGTGTGGAAATGTACTTGTCATTATTCTTATCTTTAGGAATTTTTCACCTTCTTCCATTTCTTACTGTTAAAGTCTTTGATGTACAGGTTGTGTCTTCTGTATTAAATTGGGCCACCAGAAATTATGAACAAGACCGGTCAGACATCAGTTTTAAAACTTTAATTTGTATATGTGCTTTTATTTTGTCCTCAAATTATTTTCTTAGGTAGCATCTTGAAGTGCTTTATGATTTCTCTATTACAATGTAATGGAAATTAAATTGTATGTATTAAACTTATTGTAGCCCAGAAATTTTTAGAGTTGCATTATTTAGTAATACTACTATTAGGTCATTTTTCAAGTTTCCATATTCAGCAGTTTTTCTCTCCTCTGATTCCTTTTTGTGAAACTGTCTAATGAGTCTCCATGGCTATGTCATTATGAAAGAGTCATCTACTTACAAAAATAATTAGGAATGACTATGTAATACAAATAATCTTGAGTAATTAATAAATGTATCTTCCATATTTGTGTTTGACTAAAACCAAATTTGATTTTATTTAAATTATGTTTAAAGTGTTGGTGCTCTTCAACTCTTTCAATATTTTCCTTGTGGTCTTAAGTTATTATTTTTGTATATAAACAGTAATCACTGAACAGGAAAACCTAGACTTATATCATAGTTAGGTTCAGATTGTCTAGTGTACTTGCAAGTAAAGCCTATAATTTAGCCTTTGAGCTAAATGGGAACATGTATTTTCATTACTTACTTATGAGGTTCAGCTGTTGTTGGGATTCACAATTCTAGGAGCATACATGCATTTCATTCATCTCCTCTGTCAAAGTTAAAACCCAAAATAAAATCACCTTTTCATTGGATTAAAAAGGTGATCTTTCCCTTTGAGGCAACTTGTTTTATACTTGGACAGAGATAAATCACTACATTTCTTGTCTTAGTAGTCAATTTTCCGTAGTACTTAGTTTTATTTGTCTAAGTTCTTATTTTGACAGTTAACGATTTTATAAAACCTCAAACTCTTGAGTTATAGGGATGTAATTTCTGTCTTCCTCTGTTTCTGTCAAAATATAATATATTGAAGCCATGGGGAATTGAAAATAAAACCATGGATAAAGGGGTAGTGCTCTGCCAAACCATTTTTAAGGATGATTATAACATTTTATGTTCCCATTAGCAGTGGATCAGAGTTGTAACTGCTTTGCAACCTTATAATAGCACACTTGATTTCATTGATACTATCTTATTGTTTAGTCTATTTCATTGTGGTTTTAAGCTACCTTTCTCACATTAAGAATGTAGCGCTATATTGCATTATTTTGTAATCTGAGCTTACATTTTCTTTAGTGGAGTACCTATGGACCTCATTGACCATTTAAATGCTTACATCAGCCTTTTACTACTCTTCCAACAAGCTCTTCACTTCCTAATGGTACAGAGGTTAAAGGTGTGCCAAACTTGAAAGTCTGAGAGCTTGTTTGCTTAGCTTGTTTCCTAGCCTCCATCTTGTTGCTTGCTGTATACTTTGGATTGTAAGGGAATCTTTCCAAGATCCTATATCACAAAAGTATTTCAGTCCTAGCTGTTCCTCTTAGGCTTTTTGTTAATCCTGTTTGATTCAGTGCTCTCCAGTGCTCTAGGAAATAGTACTAATTTGCTTATCTTTTGTTTCTCCTGAGAAATGTCCTCCATTAGCTGCTGTTTAATTTTGCAGTAAATCTGAGCTCTGCAAAGTAAAGTTAGTTTTTCATATTAGCTCTTCACTGTGCTCCATCACAGGTTAAAACAAGAGTTTTTTGAGGACAGATCTATTTTTTAAGATTTATTTGTTATGCACTGAAGAACTGGGGTACAGACCAGAAGTGTGGGGGTGAGAGGATTCACCAAAGACAGAGCGGGGAACAGAACAGGCAGACTGAGTGAAACACACTGATGAGGGGAACAGCAGGTGAGACAGGAGAGGTCTGCTGCTCCATGTCGGTTGCTCCCTTGGTGGGGATTGAACTCGTGCTGCAGTGACTGCGGACAGCTTCATAGTGTGCTGTTTAACACCTTGTACCCCCAGGGAGGCCCGAGGACAGATCCTGTTTTATTTTGCTCCTTCTAGAATGAAGAACCCAAATGGACAATGTGTACTGCTGTCTGTTAGATTAACCTGAGCTGGAAAGGGACTCAGGGTGGGTGAGGGAAAGAATAAGTTAAAATATCATGAAGCTTTTCTACTGTCTTTAGTTGGTTTTTCATGATTTGTCTCTTGTTTACAGTAAACCTTTGAGCATTATCTAGAGTTCTGATAAAGTTGTATTTGATTTTTGCCAGGCTTTGATTTTTTTTGTGTTTCACTAGAGAAACACTATAAAGAGTTTTCTATTCCATTGATGTTCTACAGCCAATAATTTTTTCACATGCCTCAAAATATAACAGATAAAAACAAGTGAGGTGGTAGTAATTACGTAGTTAATAATTTAGTATTTTGGGAATAAAGAAGTATTATATGGAAAATGCCAGGTATTGGACTCAGATTTGGGCAAGATTTAGAGCAGAAAAGATATTCTTACTTTGCTTTGTTTCCTGGACCAGTAATAACAGAGAAATATAAAGGGACTATACAGTTACAAAATTTAGAAGATTTGAACCACTTGAGTAATAACATTATGTTGGTAAATAGGATAAAGTGAACTAAACATTGGAATAGTGTTTGTTAGAGGGTCAGATGAATATTAATCTGAATTACAATTAAAATTATATTAATAATGACTCATATTTTGAGTTAGTTTTCTTCTCAGAAGAAAAGATTTGCATTTATAAATAACACTTGGACCTTCCAGGGAACATGAATACCAGGTTTTTAGTCACAAACTAGAGCAAAGCAGCATGCCTTAAGAATATAGTTTTTTTAAATCATCTTGCTCAGTTTGCCTTTTGTCACCCAACTCTGCTCATTACCAATTCTGGCAAATCTCTGACCTAACAGGAGTATGCAACCAGTGGTTGGAATCTGAATGTGATGCCAGTGCTGGATCAATCAGTTCTTTGCCACATCAATGCTGACATCTCAGGCATGAAGGTTCCCTGGCTCTATGTAGGAATGGTATTCTCAGCATTTTGTTGGCATATTGAAGATCACTGGAGTTACTCTATTAACTATCTGCATTGGTGAGTAGGGCCTAAATGGCTCAATAGAGATCAAGACCCCCCTGCTATGCACAGATACGTCCAGACTTTACATGACTTCTCTTTATTTGAGCAGGGGTGAGCCAAAGACCTGGTATGGGGTACCTTCAGTGGCAGCAGAGCACTTAGAGGAGGTGATGAAGAGGCTGACACCTGAGTTATTTGATAGCCAGCCTGATCTCCTACACCAGCTTGTCACTCTCATGAATCCCAATACTCTGATGTCTCATGGTGTGCCAGTGAGTACCTGTACGGGGCAGGGGTGGGGATGAATTTAATGCCTACATGATAGTAGGGAGAGAATGAGGAAGAACTTAGTTTTAAAGGAAATAAACGTGTGTGCATTTTGCTATGGAGACGCATTCTTTCCTATGCTGCTGTCAAGTTGAAAGTCTGTGTATACTAGTAGGTGTGCTTGAGTGATGATGGCAGTAACTATTTGACATTGTACTTCAATAACAAAATAATTAAATAAATATTAAATATGTTGTCAAGACATTAACAATATAGAAAGTAAAAATTGATTTCTTACCTTTTAATCTGCCTCAAAGTTTTCTTTTAACCTAGTTTTTGGTGAATATTACTGAACATAAATTCTAATTTCATAAAACTAAAGTTTGGGGCAACAATTTCTATTTGGGAATTTCTAGAATTAGTCTATATCACTTTTAGAAAACTAAAGTCAGCCAAAAATTTGTAGGAGATAAAGTAAGGCATATTCTGCAACACAGTATATACATTTTCTCATTCAAAATTATGTAATGACGTTGATTGATTTTTGGATATTGAACCATCCTTGTGTCCCTGGAATGAATCCTACTTGGTCATGGTGAATTATGTTGTGGATACATTGTTGGATTCTGATAGCTAAAATTTTGTTGAGGATTTTTGCATCAGTGTTCATTAGGGAGATTGGCCTGTAGTTTCCCTTTCTTGTGTTGTCCTTGTTCGGTTTTGGTATTAGTGTAATTTTGGCTTCATAGAACGTGTTTGGTATTGTCCCTTCCTTCTCAATTTTGAAGAAGAATTTGTGAGGGATAGGCACTAATTCGTCTCTGAATGTTTGGTAGAATTCATTTGGAAATCCATCAGGTCCTGGGCTTTTTTCTTTTTTTTTATAGAGGCATGTTACTTATTTACTTATTTGTTTGTTTGTTTGATGGTTTGTTTATACATGCACTGGGTACAGTCAGAAGCACGGGAGGGTGAGAGAATTCACCAGAGCCAGAGCAGGGAACAGAGCAGGCAGTAGGACCGAAGTACACTGCTGAGGGGAGCAGCGGGCAGCAGGAGAGGTCTGCGCGCCATGTGGGACCCTCCTCCAGTGGCCCGGGAGCAGCCAGGGATAGAACCGGCGCTGCAGAGGCTGTGGGCAGCTTCGCAACCCAGCGCTCAACCGCTGTGCCACCGGGGAGGCCCACTGGGCTTTTGTTTTTGGGGAGGTTTTTGATTACCATTTCAGTTTCGCTGCTTGTAATTGGTCTGTTTAGGTGTTCTATTTCTTCTTTATCTAGCTTTGGGTGATTGTAGAGTTGTAGGAATTTGTCCATCTCTTCTAGATGTTGAACTTATTTTCATATAACTGTTCACAGTAGTTTCTGATTATTCTTTTGATTTCTGCTGTGTCCGTTGTGATTTCTCCTCTTTCATTTATGATCCTATTTATTTGTGCTTTCTCCCGTTTTTCCTTTGTGAGCCTGGCTAGTGGTTTGTCTATTTTATTTATTTTTTTGAAGAACCAGCTCTTGGTTTCATTGATCTTTTGATTGTTTTTTTTAGTTTCGATTTCATTTATTTCTGCTTTGGTTTTCATTATTTCTTTTCTTCCACTGGTTTTAGGGTTTTTTTGTTCTTTTTCTAGTTCTTTGAGCTTTGAGATGAGGTTGTTTCTTTGAGTTCTTTCTTGTTGGTTGATGTGAGTCTCTATTTCTATATATTTTCCTCTTATTACTGTTTTTGCTGCATCCCATACATTTAGGAAATTGGTGTCCTCCTTGTCATTCAACTCAAAGAATATTTTAATTTCTTCTTTGATCTCCTCATTAGCCAGTGGTCTTCCAGTGGTGTGGGTTTCAATCTCCATGAGGTAGGAGAGTTCCTTGCCTTCTTTTTATGGCACCTGCACCCCAATGTTTATAGCAGCACTATTTACAATAGCTAAGCTTTGGAAACAACCCAAATGCCCAAAAGTAGATGACTGGATCAAGAAGATGTGGTCCATATACACCATGGAATATTACTCAGCATTCAAAAAAGATAAACACATGCAATTTGCAGCAACGTGGATGGCACTGGAAGGGATCATGCTCAGCAAAATAAGCCGGAAAGAAAAAGAAAAATACCGGATGGTCTCACTTATAGCAGGAATTTAGAAAACCTAAATAAGAGTCCAGGAAAAAGACTAATCAATACAAAGTAAGAATCAAAATCAACAAGCAACTATAAACCAGAGACACACTATGGGTGGGGGTGTGTGTAGGAGGGGCGGGGAAAGGAAGGACTAGAGTCAAAATAAGGGGGGGACAATTGTATGGGGAATATAACCAAAATGAAAATGCATGCATTGTGCAAAGATGAAAAAAGATGTAAGAATTATATAAAATAAAATATTTACATTTTAAAAATACAGGAAAAAGTACCATTAAAAGTATTAAAATGTAAAGAAATATTGTCAGATCTACATAAACCTGTGTAAAGCCTCACTTTTCATCACTTTTGTATCTGTCTTCCTCCGTTTTCAGATCTGCACAAAATTTTCCAGTTCTCAGTTTTTTTTAAGTTCTTACTTGCATTTCCCACTGTTTGCTATTACTATTGTGTCATTAAAAAAGAAAATAGGTTTTGCCTATTGTAAATAGTGCGCAATAAACATCGGGGTACAGGTGTTCTCTTCAATGTTCTTGTGTCCTTTGGGTAGATCCCTAGGAGTGGAATTGCAGGGTTTTATGGTAGTTCCATTTTTAGTAGACTGAGGAACCTCCAGACAGCTTTCTATAGTGGTTGGACCAGGATGCACTCCCACCAGCAGTGCAGGAGAGTTCCTTTTTTACCACATACTTGCCAACATTTGTTGTTTCTGGTTTTTTTGATATGTGCCATTCTTATTGGTGTATGGTGGTATCTCAATGTGATTTTGATTTGCATTTCCATGATTAGAAGGGATGTTGAACATTTTTTCATATGCTTGTTGGCCATTTTCATTTCCTCTTCGGAGAAATGTCTTCTAACTTCTTCTGCCCATTTCTTGACTGGTTTGTTTTGTTTTTGTTGACTTGTGTGAATTTTTTGTATATCGTTGTGATCAGTCCCTTATCAGTTGAATGGAGTGCAAAGATTTTTTTGTGCATTGGGAAAGGAAATTCTTTGGGGACTAAACCTGAGGGGGTGGGGAGAGCAAATATTGTTTAAAAATGATCAATGATGTAAAAAGAAAATAGCATTAAAATATATTAAAAAAAGAAAAGAGGTCTCAATAATGAAGTCAAACTACTGTTTAGGTATATTTTGTCATGCCTCTGGTATCACTGCTTACTATTCTTTTTTTCTCTCCATGTGTATTCAACTCTTACACCTACAAGTTGTTACACAGTTTTTCATAGTACTGTATTCTTTTTTCACCCCTGTAAATTTGGAAAGACATCCCCTTTCATTTCTGATTTTAATATTTTCATCTCACTGTCCTTTTCTAGCTAAACGCTTGTCGAATTTATTAGTCATTTCACTAAACTTTGTTTTGATTCTCTATTTTTCTGTTCTCTATTTTACATTTCTTCTTCATGAAGTGACCCTTTTATCAACATTCAGTGTCCTTTATTTCACAATTTTTTATGTAATGTCCCTATTTAATATTAGCATGGACTTTGATTTTTTTCTTTTTTTGATTTTCAGCATATATTCTATATAAATGACTAATTTTTTGCAACAGGGTATAGTTGGGTCTTGTTTTTCATTTATTCTTCCAATCTTTGCCTTTTGAGAATGTAATAGTATAGTAGCTGATTAAAAAGGATTCACTTGTGCCATTTTGTGGTTTTCTGCATATCTTATTTTGTTATTTTGTTCAGCTGTTCCATGACTTCACTCTTTATGATCAGTTTGTTCTGTTATACTGGTTTAATACTTTTCCCTTTCTACAAAAATTAACACTGATGTAGAAAATTTAAAAGTTTAATAATTTAAAAAAGATCTTGAAATCAGAAAAAAAGTAATACATTTTGCTTTCCATTTATTTTTTCTGAATTTCACCAGGGCAAACACAGCTAATATTTTATAATATGTAACAAAATAGTTGAGTAGAAAGCAGTTTACCTTCAAAGATTACTAGAGAAAGGAACCCTGCCTTTTTTTTTTTTTTTAAATCTCTCCCTCTTGTTTTTTCTTTCATTGTCTTAAACATGTTACTTTATGCCTTTTGGCATCTCTTATTTTTTATGAGAAATAATGCTGACAATCTCATTCTGATGCATTTCTTCTCCCTACTTTCATCATTTATTTATCATTAGCATTCAGCATTTTCATTATAGAGGACAGGCATACTTTATGAGTAATTCATCAAGTGATTTCATGGTAGTGCAAATACCATTGAGTGCAATTACACAAACCTGGATGATACGACCTTTGGCACAAGAATATATAAATAAGACCATTCATTGATCAAAATGCTATTGAGTGATGCATGGCTGTTGTCTATTTGAGTGTGTCTTGCTTAGATTGTTTTCAACACATTGATTTTTTCCTAAATGTGTGAGTTTCTGAACCATTATTTCTTCACAGTATGACTGATAGGTATCCCAAAGGTCATTTAGCATCTGTTATTTTTCTCCATTTTTTTTTCCCCTCTGCTTCTCAGGAAGGTACACATTTTTTAAAAATTTGATATGGAAACCAGTGAATTTTTACAGACCCAGAGTGCTTTTTTATTTCCTTTTTATGGTTTTTTTTAATCTCTTGAGATTCTCTATTTAGAGGTATTATTTGCTACTCTTAACTTTGGTTTTATAAACATTGTTTCTTCAACTGTTGAAATCTATTTATGATATTTTATTTACTTTGTTTATCCAGTATCTTTAAGGCATTGACTATCTCAGAAATAGTTTCATTGAGTAAGCGGTATGTTGGATTTTTTTTCTTGAAAGCTAAACATTATGAACATTAAATTGTAAGAGTCCAGGAACTGATTTTTCCACTAGCTTTCCCTTCACTGTATTTTTTGTTGTTGTTGCTTTTTGTACTTTTAAGTAATGTTTCTGAACAAATTTTTATTTTACAGTATTTTTGAGGTGGAATTTACTTCAGTCAAAATTACCCATTTTAAAGTGAAATTCCAGTTGTTATATAACCACTCCCTTTTGTCTAGTTCCAAACCACTAACTAGTTCACTATCTTTTTAAGAAAAAAAAAAAAAGATTTATTTTTAAAAATTTAAATATTTTATTTTATATAATTCTTACATCGTTGTTTATTTGTGCAAGAACCAGGCTACAGGCCAGATTTGCGGGAGGGTGAAAGAATTCACCAGAGACAGAGTGGGGAACAGAACAGGCAGATTGACTGTAATACACTGCTGAGGGGAGCTGCAGGCGAGACAGGAGAGGTCTGCTGTGCCATGTGGGATCCTCGCCAGCCTACCGGGGTCTAACTGGCGTGGCAGAGGCTGCAGACAGCTTCACAGCGCCTGGCTCAACCACCTGTGCCAGCAGGAGAGGTCCTAGTTAAACTATCTTAAATTTATTTTTTCATCAAATCAATCCCCATTTGCTCCTTCTGGTCACTGAACCACTTTCTCACTTTGTTTTTACAGATTTATGTATTCTGCAAATTATTTATAAAGAAAGTAGTACAATATATATCACTGCTTCATGCTGTTTATGACTGGATATTATTTCATTGTATGTTTATAACATTATATGTATCTGCTTGTCTTTGTTGAGCCTTTAAATTGCTCCCTCTTTTTAAATACTATGAATAATGCTGTGGACATTTTTGTATGAATACATATTGGAGTCCTTGTTTTCAGCCATAGTTTTCCTTTTAAAAAAGTTCTTGCTACAGTTAAATAGGAAAGAATTATTATCTGTTGTTTTAATATACAAATCCCTTTGATAGTGAGCATCATTTTATGTCCTTGAAGTAATCAAATTGGTATTATTTTCCTCTGCTCTGTTAAGCTGGTGGACATCTAGCGAGCTGATAAATTTAAACTCAAGTGAAAAGAGAAAAATATCCAGATTTTTTAATAATTCAGGGAACATTTGTTCCTTATTAGTGATTTTGTTTAAAATTCTGTTCTTACCTCCTTCTTGGGTTTATCTTGAACGGTAACCAGAGGATCTTATCTGAATATGTATATGGGTTTCTTGATTCCCAAAAAGAGATGAGATAGGCTAAAACTCACTCTCACTTCTTTGAAAACAAGATCTATCTTGTGCCCCACAAAACTAGCACATTGCATTAGGAATTTAAGATAGTAGTTACTGAGATAGAAGAGTTATTGCTAGGAAAGTTACGACATCACAGCATTCTCATCAAAATTTAGAATTTGCTATTATATTTTTTTAACTAGATGTTCTTCTATTTGTATTATGTAATTTTAGTAGAAATTTCAAAGTCTTCTGACACTTTCAGTTTAATCTTTGTTTTAGTACAGGAATTTTTGAAGTTTCTCTTTCCCTCATTCATATGGACATAATTTCTTTTTTTTTAAAGATTTATTTTTTATTTTTATTTATTTATTTTATTTATTTATACAAGCACTGGGTACAGTCAGAAGCGCGGGAGGGTGAGAGAATTCACCAGAGCCAGAGCGGGGAGCAGAGCAGGCAGAAGGACCGAAGTACACTGCTGAGGGGAGCAGCGGGCGGCAGGAGAGGTCTGCGCGCCATGTGGGACCCTCCTCTGGTGGCCGGGGAGCTGCCGGGGATTGAACCGGCGCTGCAGAAGCTGCGGGCAGCTTCGCAACCCAGCGCTCAACCGCTGCGCCACTGGGGAGGCCCGACACAATTTCTTGACTTTTCGATTGTTCCTTTCTTTGAGTCAATGATCTTTTTTTTTTTTTTTTTTTTTTAAAGATTTATTTATTTATTTATTTATTTATACAAGCACTGGGTACAGTCAGAAGCACAACGCAGGAGGGTGAGAGGACTCACCAGAGCCAGAGCGGGAGCAAAACAGGCAGACGACAGAAATACACTGCTGAGGAGAGCAGTTGGTGCGGCAGGAGAGGTCTGTCACACCATGTGGGACCCTCACCTGTGTCCGGGGATTGAACCGGTGCTGCAGAGACTGGGGGCAGCTTCGCAGCCCAGTGCTCAATTGCTGTGCCACTGGGGAGGTCCCCTAATGATCTTCTTAATGTATTTCTTTTTTGAATGTATTTTAATTTTCTTTGTACTTTTCTCTGAATATCATTTTTGACCTATATGTTCTTATTTTAAGCCATGTACATATAAAGATTTTATCTTTTTTTTTAAGATTTATTTATTTATATAAAAATGAGGTACAGGCAGGAGGCACAAGAGGGTGAGAGGATTCACTAGAGACACAGCAGGGAACAGAACAGGCAGACTGATGAAAAACACTGCTGAGGGGAGCAGCGGGCGAGAAAGGAGAGGTCTGCTGTGCCATGTGGGATTCTCACCAGCTGGCGGGGATCAAACCCATGCTGCAGAGGCTGCAGACAGCTTCACTTTGCGGCGCTCAATCAAGCGGCACTCGATCAACTGCCTGCACAACCAGGGAGGCCCATTATCTCTTAGCACTTTTCCCCCCATATTGGTTACAAGATACAAATGTATTCTTAGTCTGCATCCTTTCACTAGTTGTGACCCACTTCTGTCTTCTTTTCAGGTTGTCCGCACAAACCAGTGTGCAGGAGAATTTGTCATTACATTCCCTCGGGCTTATCACAGTGGCTTTAACCAAGGCTACAATTTTGCTGAAGCTGTCAACTTTTGCACCGCTGACTGGGTGAGTTTAGGATGTGGTAGGCTTGCAGATAGGAAGGCATTAAAAAATGCAGTCATTGAGGAAAAATGAAGCACTTTGGTCTCCAGATGTCCATACACGGTCTTGAACTCCTTGCAGCTACCTGTTGGACGGCAGTGCATTGATCACTATCGGCAACTACGCCGCTACTGTGTTTTTTCCCATGAGGAGCTTATATGCAAGATGGCTGCTTTTCCAGAGAAACTGGACCTGAATCTGGCTGTAGCTGTGCATAAGGAAATGTTTATTATGGTTCAGGAAGAGCGACGTTTACGAAAGACCCTGCTGGAGAAGGTGGGTGATGAGGAACAAGGATAAGGATTCAGTCACGTAGACTGTGGAAGGGAGAAGAGACAAAAATTGAGTAAGCACTCATGCCTCATCTGTGTCATACATTTAGGTGTAAAGATGCAGACTATATATGTTTATATTTTTTTCTTCCAATTTTTCTACAGCTATCCTTACAAAGTTGGGCCCACAGCAGGGCTGATTGTTGGCCTAGGTGGGGTATCCTCAACCCTGCTCCTAGTATTTACAGTATATGTGGGTTGACCCACCCCCAGGGCATCACAGAGGCTGAGCGAGAGGCTTTCGAGCTACTCCCAGATGATGAACGCCAGTGTATCAAGTGCAAGACCACATGCTTCCTATCTGCCCTGGCCTGCTACGACTGCCCAGATGGCCTTGTCTGCCTTTCCCACATCAATGATCTCTGCAAGTGCTCCAGAAGCCGACAGTACTTACGGTGAGCATGGTGCCTACTTGTGGATCACAAGGTTACAGAACTGGGCCACATATTTTTTCCTTGAACCCTCCTCCAGGTATCGGTATACACTGGATGAGCTCCCTGCTATGCTGCAAAAGCTGAAAGTTCGAGCTGAATCCTTTGACACCTGGGCCAACAAAGTACGAGTGGCCCTAGAGGTAGAGGATGGCCGAAAGCGCAGTGAGTGATAAGATATGAAAAGATCCATGGGCATACCTGTTGCTTTTTTTTCTTGGGCATTACTAACCTCCATTCGCTATCTATTCATAACACTCCCCACCTGTTACAACTTTCACTGTTTCTCCAGGTTTTGAAGAACTCAGGGCACTAGAGTCTGAGGCTCGTGAGAAGAGGTTTCCTGATAGTGAGCTACTGGAGAGATTGAAAAACTGTCTAAGTAAAGCAGAAGCTTGTGCTTCCCAAGTCCTGGGACTGGTCAGTGGCCAAGAGGCCAGGTAAGTTAAAGAACAGAGCAAAAAGGATCACAGTATACATGATGAAAATGGATAACAAAAAAGTCACAACGTAAGATAATAATCCACTTAAAGAAAGTTAATACATTCCATTATGGCCATACTGTTGAATAAAATATGTGTGTGTGTGTGGCGGGGGAGGGTGTAACTTATCAAAGTATTGATTCAGCAGTGGGCAAAAGAATAGTGAGAGTGGAGATACGATAATAACAATTTCAATAGAAAACTTTGGTACTGCTGTTAGCAAATCCCATAAAATAGTTTTGTCAGAATTTCCACAAAAATTATTTTTCTCTAAGTACATAAAATTTAAATTTTGGAAAGCTCTTCAAACCTTTATTTTCCTACTTACTATTAAAAATACATAATAATAGATACATGTTTTTCTGACTGCAGAGATTATTACATATATATGCTTTGTAAATTTCAAGTTTAAGTAGAAATAATAGCTACAATACAGTGTCAGATCATTTAAAATTTTTTTTTAAATTTAAAATTGGTACAGTAATAATTCCCTTTTATGAACAACCTCTTTCCCTTTTCTGTTTCAAAAGAAATAAATACTCATAGTATGGAGGGTTGACTTTAAATACTTAACGTTCTTAGTCTTTCTCAAGTTGTAATCAATATAATTCCCTTAACATCTTCAGTTCTTTCTCTTATAGAAAGTTACTCCCTAAGAGTACATCCTAGGATTTTTACTCACTTGGAAATATTGTTGTACTCCTGACATAATAAACTTTTACTTCTCTTTTATTTAGAGGATTCACTATTACTTTGATTTTGATCATAATACTGCTTCTTAATTCTTCTATATACTTTGTTTAAAGATTGTGGTATTTATGTTTTGCTTTAATTAAAAAAAATCTGTTAACTGCTTAACTTGTGTTTTTCACTCTTCACTTTGATCCCCTTTTGCCTCTTAACTAAATAAAAGCTACCCCCTAGGTCCCATCTCACATTTCTGTTCTCGAAAAAGAAAATATTATGTATTTTTATTATTCTAATTGTAGTAATACTAACACATTATACCATTAATTTCTGCAGAAACTCTCATTTTGATATGTTCAGTCTTTTCTCTTGTAAGTTTTTATTAAATATAAAATATCCTCAAGTGTTTTCTCTTATGTTACTGGTTTAATCCCCAAATTTCAAAAGATAACTCATAAGTACTGCAGTAATATGAAGGAAAAATAAAGATCCTGGATTTCTCTGAATGTTTAAAACATGACCTGGCAGGTTCACTTTTTCCCTGACTTCCACAGGCTAGAATCCTCACAACTGACCCTGACCGAGCTCCAGGTCCTTCTTGAACAGATGGGCAGTCTGCCATGTGCCATGCATCAGATTGGGGATGTCAAGGTGAGGAGAGGCCTGACTAGTATAATCCATAGTAACATACATTAGCAAAGTCTGAAATAAAAGAGAAACTTGAGAACCTGACTGTTAGTAGTTCTGTTATAATGTATCTTTCTTAGAAGCTGTGGATATGGGTGGTCCAATGATAGATGACTATTATTATATCCTTCCATATAAAGATACTAAGCAGAGGACTACATTAAAGTCTCATGCTTGGCATTGGAGAATCTGAAGGAGGTAGTAACATTTATTAATACTATATAGCCTCAAGAAGCCTTCTAAGATAAAATGGTTTTAAGAGTAGGCCTTGAAAACTAATTTTTAGTAATCAAAGAAGCAGGCTGCTCTGTGGTAAAGAAAGATCTTTGTTAGCATATCCAGTTTTAGGACATGATTGAAGCTTTCTGTATTCAATATGTATGTCTGTGAGAGAAGATGGAGAGCAGAACTACATCAATTGTTTGGTATTCTAGATGGCAAATATTCTCTCCTTTTATGCTATTTTTGCAGGATGTCCTGGAACAGGTAGAAGCCTACCAAGCTGAGGCACAGGAGGCCCTTGCTTTACTGCCTCCCAGTCTAGGGAAATTGAGGTCCCTGTTGAAGAAGGGGCAGCAGCTGGGTGTGGAAGTACCTGAAGCCTATCAGCTCCAGCAGCAGATGGAGCAGGCCCGATGGCTGGATGAGGTGAAGCAAGCATTGTCTCCTTCAGCTGAGAGGGGCTCCCTACTCTTCATTCAGGGGCTCTTGGTTACAGGCGCCAAGGTAGCCTCCAGCCCTTCTGTGGATAAGGCTCGGGCTGAACTTCAGGAGATGCTGACCATTGCAGAACGCTGGGAAGAAAAAGCCCATTTTTGTCTGGAAGCCAGGTGAGGCCTAGCTTTTCCCCATATGGACATTGCAACTCTCAGAGTTTGAGTGTAATATTAGTATGGCCTTAATGCATGACCTTGGTAGCAGACTACCATTTATACATCTATTAAATTGGAAAGGATTTGTGTGAAATGTTGTCCAATTCTATAGATATGCTTATTTTTTTTTTATTTTAATATTTTCTTCTGGACTTATTCAGAATGCTCTGTGTGTGATAAGCAGCACTTTTTTTAAATATTTATTTATACAAGAACTGGGGTACAATCATAGGCATGGGAGGGTGAGAGAATTCACCAGAGACAAAGTGGGGAGCAGAACAGGCAGACAGCTGGAGGACACTGCTAAGGGGAGCAGCAGGCGAGGCAGGAGAGGTCTGCTGCACCCTGTGGGTTTCTCCCTGGTCAGCCGGGAATCGAACCCACGATTCCTGTAGATGCTGCGGACAGCGTCGCAGCATGGCACTCAACCACTGCGCTACCAGGGAGGCCCAAGATAAACCTGTTTTAAAGGTAATAATTGAATAAATATCCCTGCAATGAGTTAATTCTCAGATCAGAGATACTAAACCTGAGACATACCCATTTCATTGCTTAGAGTTCCTCAGACTTGGGACATTGTTGTTTACTTAACTCTTGATTTTTTGTGATTTATGTTCTTGGCAAGAAAACACAAAAAGTGTATATACTTGCATGTACCATTTAAGGATAGAATCCTGTTTTCGATATTTTAGGCAGAAGCATCCACCAGCTACCTTGGAAGCCATAATCCGTGAGGCTGAAAACATCCCTATTCACCTACCTAATATCCAGGCACTCAAAGAGGTCCTAACTAAGGCACAGGCTTGGATTGCTGATGTGAATGAGATCCAAGTAAGGACTTGTTCTCCACTTCCTTATAGCTGCATGCAGGTTAGAAGACAGTTCTACCTTATATTTTTTGACTTCTGCTATAAGGCAGAGGTGGCAGGTTGAAAGTTCTGCAGGTTGAAAGTCTGTATAGTGTGAAACTTAGCACAAGTCTAGACATAATAGTTTACATAATTAAACTAAGTTTACTCTTCTGACTGACTCAGAATGGTGACCACTATCCCTGTTTGGATGATTTGGAGGGCCTGGTGGCTGTGGGCCGGGATCTACCTGTGGGATTGGAGGAGCTAAGACAGCTGGAGCTCCAGGTACTGACAGCACACTCATGGAGGGAAAAGGCCTCCAAGACCTTCCTCAAGAAGAATTCTTGCTACACGTTGCTGGAGGTGAGGCCTGAAATCTTAACTCACAGTCTCTACCCCCGGCCTGAGTTATGATGTAGGGCATATGAAAACATAAAGGTTTTGGGAGGAGAAAAGAATGTGTGGGAGTTACAAAAATCCTAGTCATTTCCTGCACCCTACCTTCCCGACTGTTTTAGGTGCTCTGCCCATGTGCGGATGCTGGCTCAGATAGCACTAAGCGCAGCCGGTGGATGGAAAAGGAGCTGGGGTTGTACAGATCTGACACAGAGCTGCTGGGGCTGTCTGCGCAGGACCTCAGGGACCCAGGCTCTGTGGTAAGGAACTTAGGCCCAGAGGGGAAGAGCCTGGCATAAGTGTCTGACCCGGGTGACCATGAACTGCTTGTTCCCTGAGCCTCGTTTCTCTGGGTTTGGGAGTGGGGTCTTAATGTGGCAACATAAGGGAAGGGCTGGGCTGCTGACCTACTCTTCCCTGTCCTGGGCATGGCAGATCGTGGCCTTCAAGGAGGGGGAACAGAAGGAGAAGGAGGGTATCCTGCACCTGCGCCGCACGAATTCTGCTAAGCCTAGTCCCCTGGCATCATTGACCACCGCCTCCCCTGCAAACTCCATCTGTGTGTGTGGTCAGGTGCCAGCAGGGGCGGGAGCTCTCCAGTGTGACCTGTGCCAGGACTGGTTCCATGGGCGGTGTGTTTCAGTCCCCCGCCTCCTCAGTTCCCCAAGATCCAGTCCCAACACATCCCCCCTGTTGGCCTGGTGGGAGTGGGACACCAAATTCTTGTGTCCACTGTGCATGCGCTCACGGCGCCCACGCCTGGAGACCATTCTGGCACTACTGGTAGCCCTACAGAGACTACCTGTGAGACTGCCGGAGGGTGAAGCCCTACAGTGCCTTACAGAGAGGGCAATGGGCTGGCAAGGCCGTGCCAGGCAGGCTCTGGCCTCTGAGGATGTGACTGCTTTGTTGGGAAGGCTGGCTCAACTTCGCCAGCGACTGCAGGCTGAACTCAATCCCGAGGAGCCCCCTATCTACCCTGCAGCCCCTGCCTCTGACCTTATCAGAGAATGCAGTAGCAAGGATATGCATAAGGTAAGCTGCCCACCCCAGGTTTTGTCTGTAAATTTCTATCTTCTAGCACTATCCCTATTTCGATCCAAGCCTAGTCCCTGATCTGTCATTTTTATTTGGTTCAGCCTCACTGCCCTGTTTTTGTATCCTTTCCAGATATCTAGACTGCTTGCTATTGTCAGCCTGTCTTCCTCCTCCAGGAGGTGGAAGGCTTAAGATTGGAGATGAGTGTGGAGACAAATAGCCTGCTCTTTTCAGTTGTTCCTACCCATTTTTGCTTTCCTTGCTAGGTCCAAGGGTTGCTGAAGAAAGGGGACTATATGAATAATCATGAGAAGATAGACCCCTCTGGGCAGGATTCAGGTAAGAAAGACTGGTATAATTGTATAGACTGGCTGACTTGGTACCTAACCCAAGTGGGCCTCAATTCTGTAAAGCTGTTGCAGATAAAACCAGGAGCAATTTCTAACCTAACCTGTCCCCACAACTCTGCAGGCATGGAACTGCTGTCGTCAGTACTGCAAAAATTGACTGGCCCTGTCTTAGAGCTGCCTGAGGCTACCCGGGTTCCCCTAGAGGAACTCATGTTGGAGGGAGACCTCCTTGAGGTGACTCTGGATGAAAACCTTAGTATCTGGCAGCTTTTACAGGCAGGGCAGCCTCCAGACCTGGAGCGGATCCGCACACTTTTGGAGGTGAGATGAGTCATGAGCAGAGCTAAGAGATTAGATTCAGCAGGAAAGGAGCAGAGGCCTGATACTACCTCTTTTAACTACTTTCTGCTTATGTTATGATTGTAGCTGGAGAAGCCAGAGGTTCAAGGAAGTCAAGCAAGGGTCCGGGCCCTGGACAAACGGCGGCGGCTACGGAAAATAGATCTGGGTGGAAAAAGTGAGGAACTTGTCCAAGAAAAACTAGAGTCAAAAAAGGCTCGGAGCTCAGGAGTTAAGTCTGAAGAGAGTCGAGAGAAAGAAGAATTTGAAGAGGAAACAAATCACGAAAATAGGTTCCTGACATACCCTACAGACCATTGCCTCATCTTGAAAGGAAGTCAAAATAGATTACAAAAGAAGTATTCGGATTCTTCATCCTCTTTTCATATTTTAACTAACCCCTTGCTGCACCTGTCTGACTCTCAGCAACAGGAGTTATGAGAGCAATACTTTTTTTTTTTTTTTTTTTTGATTCAGTGCCTCCTGAACTTCTCCGGTTCCTACTCTTTTCTATATAGAATTTGTTGCTTTAAAATTTTAGTATCTAGTATTTTAAGGTCATCTAAGGACAATGCCTTATCTCAATCTTCCCCAAATTGCCATGCAGGTAACATCACTAGCACTAGTATGGAGTGTTTCCTAGGCCTTTTGTGTTCTAGACTGGGACAGGTAAAACTTGGGAATTATAGCTCATTTTCTTCCTCTCTGCTTTTTCATATAACTGTGAAAGCATTTTGGTGCTTCAAGGTTTCTTAACTTTCATTCTACCTCCTTTTCTCCCCTTGGTTCACATTGTAAGAAAAGACATGTGATGTGATTATATTAAAACCAAAAGGAAAGAGCAAAACAGATTTTTGCTTTAAGCTATTTTTAATTTTTTTCAAAAAAATAAACACTCTGGGTGTGTTTTAAAACTCTGAATCTGACTTGCACTTCTTGAATTAGAGAAGTGAGTGAAGGACTAAAGTTGGGAAGTCTAAAGACATAATTTTAAAATCCATGTTTTTATTGTTGGTGTAAGGGGCATTCATTTTTATGTTAAGATTTGAGATTTAAGTTAGGCTTGATGTTCACTCTATGGATGTCCATAGTTCAGCAGCATTTACTGAAAATTATTTTGTTCCCCGACAGAAAGCTTTTTCTTTGTTGAAAATCTGTTACTTTGACTTTTGCGGTGTGTGTTTTTCTTTTCCATGATTTATATCTGTCCCTTTAGGAAACATTCCATTATTTTGATTACTGAAACTTTGTAAGTCTTAAAATACACAAAATTATTCTCTCCCTTAATTAAAATAGTTTAAGCTGGCCTAATGGCAACTTTTTCCATATGTACTTGAGTCATAAATTTTAAGACTTGAATTGTTACACTTCTGTTTTCTTTCAGTTGATCATCTGATTTATACATACAAGAATTCAGTGAGATTAATGCACAGATTTCTGAGGCAAAATTAGTAAAACACCATTAACTTACGCTGTATCTCTTCTCTCAGTGACACAGAATGTGTATTTCAGTTCCTCTCAGTGGATTGTCAGTGTGGCTTGAATCTAGTAATCATGTTTTAAAACTCAGTGGAGTTCCCTAATTTTCTGTTGACACTGTTAGTGTTGACCTTGCTATTTCCGTATAAAATACAATGCCACTTATCTTCATGTCTCACTTTTGTCTATTCCGAGGCTGATATTCAATCTTGTTACTGAGAAACTTAATTTTAGCCATTGCCAAAGTGGTAACTTTAGCTGTCAACAAACAAAAATTATCGGTCTGCATTCTTGGAATCAGGTAAAATAAAGTCTAACTTTATTAAAATACAAGGATTGTTTTCTGAACTTCCATCTTTTGTTTTGCTCTGCAAGCTTAGCATAAACCTGTGATTCTCACCTGTACCCTCTGAAAATACTTTATCCAAAGAAATCTTTTTGTTTCAATTGAAGGAACATTGTGTTGTAATACAATATATAAGCTCCAGGTGCAGAGCCCTATAGCTTAACATTTTGTACACTAGATTATGATGTGGGTTTTGCTTTTTTAACACAGCATCTCCTCCCTTTACCTGTTTCCTTTTACAAGTTTGCATATGCATCTCATCATTTGAGAATTACTGTGTAGTGAGAAATACACTGATAGAGTGAAAAAGCTGAAAACTACATTCAATAACCTCTTAAGTACGAGCCACAGAATACTTGTTTTCAATAAGGGGAAAATACAAAGTCAATTATGTACCTTTTCAAGGGTCCCTCTGCCAGTTAGGGTGTATAGTTTAACAAGCAAGTTTTACCATAGCTGAAATCAAATACAGCATTAGGTTCTGAATATAACTGAGTCAAGAAAGATTTTTAGCAACAACTTAATTTCTGTCATTTAGTTTTCTATAATAGTGGTTGAGGATGATTCAGAAACTTGAATGTTGATCTGGAACTCAAAAACTGCCATTACTAAGCCATCAAATTGCTGTATGTAGATCAGTAGATACTCAGTTTCCATTTGACAAAAAATTCATAAACTTGTGTTAAGTTCAGAAGTTCACCATTGTCAACATAGCAACTTATCCAATATACAATGAATAACCAAAGATTCTATAAATACATTTTCAGGTCTTCGTAAATATCAGCTCCACAAATTTCTACCAGCAATGGCAGTAATACCAATATACGCTTTGGTTTCACTTTGTATTAGCTATAAAAATATTCTTACCTATTCACTCCATGTTATTAATAAATAATAGAGAACTATTAATAAAGGCTTCTTAGTTACTTCCAAATGACAGTGGCATCCAAAAGAAAGAAAATAAGCACCTTAAGGAGGAAAATGCACTGGGAGTAATGTTTTCAACTCTATCTGTTGAATGCCAACTTATGTTTATTTTATCTGGACACATTTCTTCAGCTACTGCTTGTATGAATACAATTTTAACTCCACATTGGTAAATGTCTGTATTTGGTTATCAAATGAGCCATCTGGAATACATTAGTTTTGATACTACCTTCTTTTCTTCTGAAGAAATGCTGTCAAATTCTATGTAAAGACCTCCCTGGTGGCACAGGGGTTAAGTCTCATTTACTATCAAGCTATCTATTGCCAGCCACTGCAGCCGAGTTGGATCCCTAGGCCAGGGAGGCCCAGCAGCCCTCTCCTCTCCTGCTGCTCCCTCTCAGCAATGTATTTCAGCAGATCCACTTGTTCTACTCCTCACTCTCTCCGGTGAGTCTTCTCATCACCACCCCCATGCTCCTCTGGCTGACACACCACTTTTTCTTAAGATTTATTCATACTAGAACTAAGGTACAGCCAGAGGTGTGGAGGGTGAGAGGATACCCCAGAGACAGTGGGGAACAGTACAGGCAGACTAACTGAAGTACACTGCTGAGGGGAGCAGCGGGCGAGTCAGGAGAGGCCTGTTGCGCCATGTGGGTAGCTCCCTGGCCAACCGGAGATTGAACTCATACTGCAGTAGCTGGGAGAGCTTCACAAGTTGCGTCTTAACCACTTGCACCACCAGGGAGGCCCAACAGTCCACTTCTATGCATAAATAAATCAATCTTCAAAAGAAAATATTTAAATTTTTCTTTTCTCATCATCCTGTGGATTGAAAATATTGCTTAATCTGGTAACAATATACATTTTATTACGTATTTATACAAGCACTGGGTATAGTCAGAGGCGCGGGAGGGTGAGAGGATTCACCAGAGCCAGAGCGGGGAGCAGAGCAGACAGAAGGACCGAAGTACACTGCTGAGGGGAGCAGCGGGCGGCAGGAGAGGTCTGCGCGCCATGTGGACCCTCCTCTGGTGGCCGGGGAGCAGCCGGGGATCGAACCGGCACTGCAGAGGTTGCGGGCAGCTTCGCAACCCAGCGCTCAATCTGTGCCACTGGGGAGGCCCTTATTACATACATTTTTTAAAGATTTATTTATTCATACAAGAGCTGGGGTACAGGCCAGATGCATGGGAGGGTGAGATGATTCACCAGAGACACAGCAGGGATCAGAACAGGCAGACTGACAAAATACACTGCTGAGGGGAGCAGAGGGCAAGGCAGGAGAGGTCTGCTGCGCCATGTGGGTTGCTCCCTGGATGGCTGGGAATCAAACTCGTGCTGCAGGGGCTGTGGACAGCTCATAGGTTGGGTCTTGTCCCCTATACCAGGAGGCCCCAACATACATTCTTTAACAGCAATTATGTCATTGTACCAAAAACAATGCCATTTCACTTAAAAAATGCAAGCAAATATCTACCATTTGGCATTGTTCTTGTATTGGATTTATACATGTTATATTAGACCCTGTAGCAATACATACAGCATATGCAATATCGTAATTTAAAGCTATGACTTGTGAGCCAAGCAGGAATGCAAAGAAATGAGAAACCCACAGACTGTAACTACTCAGCTAAAATGAGCATGGTTGTGTGGCAGTATAATTTTTGATCATACAATTAAATTTCATAGATTATCATGTGGTATGACACAATATGACATTTAAAATTAGAACAGCTGGTGGCTAACTCATAGTTGTAGACCTATGCCTTGATCTATTTAAAAGGATATCATTGAATCTGGTTGAACTTGTTCTCAAGTCCAGGTTTCTAAAGCCCCCTCATTTTCTGCTACGGTCGATTCCATTCTAGAACAGGACTTCTTTAGCTTTTCAGCTTTACTTTTATCCAATGTCCATGGTTATTGGTCACTGTTTTCCCCTGCAGCTCTCTTAGCTTACCTACACATAAATGAAATGTAGTTTTTCTTGTCCCTTCAATTGCTTATGTCAAATTCTGCTGTTTGTATTAGATACACACACATATACATAAACCACTCTTCTCATATCCTCCATGTCAGTGCTGGCAGTGCGGTTTCCTTCACCTCCAAGACTCTTTTGTTATATAAATAAACCAAGAACAGCTTCTGTGGTTTTAATTTCTAATTTCTTTACTTTTTCATGGAAGAAGTTCAAAATCTGTTGCTATAATCAAAATTTTGTATGTAGAATATTTTTAAGAATAGGCCAAACAAGTAGCATATAGCTAAATACATTCATAAACCCTGCATATTCTACCATCTCCTTGCTGGCAAAAAAGAAACTTTTGGCTCCAAGAGCCATTTGATGCTCCACTATCTGAAATCCCTTCAGGTTTGTTGAATATCATCATGTCTTAATTTTATCAGATTCAGCATCTGTCTGGCTACTACTGTACTTTTTCAATCTGTGAGGGCATTTTCTGCTCATAAAACCCTCAAGTTCTCCTAATAAAGCATGTTGTGTCATTGCCTTTCAAGGTACTATTACCACTTGAAAGCCCCTCAATCCCTCAGTCTTCTACCAACAATCTGTTGTCATCATGTTTCTTCCAAAAAACTGGTCACTTCTATTTCACCAGTCAGCCTGCACTTCCTTCTTCTTTGCCACGGTTACCTAAATGATCCAATCTGCAATCACTTGAATGGTTCCTCCACTGTTAATTTTCACTGCATTTTAGAACTTTAGTTCAGGTTGGTGCCAAACTTATTTTTTATGTATGCTGTTCATTGCATTTGTCTTAAACATTTCAGCAATTCAGACCATTCCTCCTTTATATAAAATCCCAACTCCACTTGTACATCCTCAAACATACTCTGATCTCATTCCACATGTGTCTGCTATTGAAAGGGCAGTTGATAATCATAAAATCTCAAACCATATAGCCTCTTCAAGACTCCCTACTGCACTGCTTCACTAAAATCATGGGCACTGTCTTCCCTTCCCTTTTGGATAGTGGAAGACAAGGGGATCACCTAGAGGGACAATATCAGCACTTTGGCTTGGGACCTACCACTCTTGAGCAGTGGCTCTACCAGGAGAGTTTTCCCCAACAGGTGACACACTGTGGCAAATTGTGGTATTTATGATGTTACTGGGAAGTCAAAGCAAAGGTGGCCAAGGTGAGTTGGTGCCCTATAAGAGATCATCAGCTACTTTGCTGGGGTGGATCTAATTGGGCTAGAGTGCAGGCTAGGCAAAGACAGCCTACAACTATGATCTTGAGTTGCCCTCAAGCCAACTGACAGCCTGGCCCTATATAAGGTGTCAGGTATTGACTGTGGTAAGAAAACTCTTGTCCCCAACACAGGCAGCAGTGTACTCTGGGATCAGATTTGTCTATGACATACCAGCAACTGAATCCTGGGGAGATTTTGTATGCGTGGGGGTCATGAAGGAAACAGAATTGCCAGCACTTAGAATTAACAGCAGCACAACTGCCTGTTTCATACAGGCTCCTCTTGACTCTTGCTCACAATATACTGAACAAATCAAAACCTTTAGCCACCTAAAATACTTCCAAGAGTAATATCTCAGTGTCTGAGTCCAGTTCAAGTTTCAGCATTCAGTTTTAGGAGCCACCAGAGAGCTGTTTTCTTCTCTATAGCCTATAGCACGTATTTAGGTCTGGTATTGGTTAAATAGTGAGGTGGTTCAAAGAAAGTGAGACAGGATCTATTTCTTGTCCTCTATGATGTGGTAGAGTTTTAAAACGTCAACTAGAACTCTGGCAGAGTGGACAGGGGCTAGAATAAAGCCTAAGTTTGGAGAAGGCTACTGAAAAACAGCATGGAAATTCCTTTAAAAACTAAAGATGTAAAGCTAGCAGCAAAGGCCCAAATAGATTACCCTCAGTCCAGTCACACCCAGAGAAGACCCACTGACTCAGCCATGTGCCTCTCTCAAAAAAAGGAGAGATGGTAAAACACAACAAATGGCAACCTAAGTCCTCAAGAGAATATTACACTACAGAGAAAACATATCTCCGGAACCCAATCACATACATGAAGGACCTGTTATTCCTATCAGATAAAGAATTCAAAATGATTATAAATAAACAAGCTGACTAAAGACAGTAATTAAACTCAGAAAAACAAACAACTATAGAGTATTTCATAGCATGGGTACACCACATTTTCTTGTCTGTGGATGAACTAAATATTTAGGTGGCTTTCATTGTCCTGTTATTGTAAATAATGCCAGGATAAACATTTTGGATTTTAAAACAAAGATATACAAGGGGAAATGTTTATATATATATATATATATATATATATATATATATATATATATAAATGTACTATGTACATTAGACTTAATGTACTATGTACATTAGACTTAACTATACAATATCCCCTTGTATATCTTTGTTTTAAAAGACAAGTGCTATTTGGATGACAAAAAATTGCAGTAAATGTATGTGACAACCAATCTAATGTATTTAGAAAAGAGTTTAAAAACACATGAAGATGGGCCTCCTCTGGTGGCACAGGCAGTTGAGCACCGCGCTGTGCAGCTGTCCACAGCCTCTGCAGCGCCAGTTGGATCCTGGCCGGCTGGCAAGGGTCCACATGTCCTGTGAACATTTAATGATAAGTATTTTTGTGTGTTTGGAATATTATATCAATGTTAAGCAGATGTGATCAAATAGCATGTTAGGCTATTTTGTCCTTTATTTTCAGAATAGTTGACCAGTTTATTGATAATGAGTGGTGCTGAAATCACCAATTGTATTTTACACCAGAAAACAGAAATAATGTCTTTATATATATCATATATATAATATATATGTATTATATAAATATATAATACATTATATATAATATATAATATAATATATAATATATATAATACATATATTATATATAGAGAGAGCAATATGATTACCTCCATCTATCACCTCTATCATCATACTTCTGGTGGTGAGAGTATTTAGATCTAATCTCTTATCAACTTTGTAAATTTGGCAACTATGCTCAATATGCTGTCTATTAAATCACCAGAACTTACTCATATTCTAGTTGTAAATCTGTACCATTAAATAGTAACTTACAAATCAATCCACCCCAGTCCTGGTAACTATCATTCTACTGTTCTTATGAAGTGTAACTCTTTAAAGATGTCACAAATAAGTAAAATATCACACAGTATTTTTTTCTTCCTTTCACTTATCTCACTTATCATGGTATTAGCACTTAAGAATTATTCATATTACAATATGGCTGGATTTCCTTCTTTCCCATGGTTAAATAAGTCCAATTCCAAATGTTTTAACTCTCACCCTTTTTGTGTTTTGGACCTACAGCATATGTTCTGTAGAAAATTTACTAGCAGCTAATTCATGTTTTTGCTTTTTATATAGCTCTGCCAATCTTTTTTTTTAAATCTTTATTAACACTGTAATTCAGACTTCTCTTTTGATCTGTTTTAATGGATAATTTAATCCATTTAATTACTAATAATTACATTTAATTACTGATAAGGAGGGATTTATTTCCATAACAAATCTTTAATTTTTTAATGTAGATATTTAACTCATTGGCTCTCTTCTTCCATGTTTACTTGAATTTTTTTTGCAGTGAAAATTGACATTCTTTTCTCATTTCCTTCTCAGTTTGCTTTTGCATACCTATAGCTATTTTATTTGTTGTAATGGGGATTTCACTTAACATCCTAATGCAACAGCTTAGCTTAGAATTATACCATGTTAAATTCAATAACAATAAATTATTACTTCATAGCTACAGTTCTATCTATTGTAAAATATATTACAAAATCACATTTTTATATATTATGTCCTGAAAACATAAACTAATATTCTATTAAATTTGTGGACAGGGCACAACAGACTTCAGTGAAGAATTATAAATATATGCCTTGACGGCAGTGTGGTGATATGAATCCAAGGACATGAGACCTATATCTGAAGTTTATACAATGTTGTAAAACAATGTAACTACCATTAAAAAGAAATTCTTCTCTTCAATTATTGTAACAAAATATGGAGGAATAAACAAAAATTATAGTAATGTTAGCTTGTAGGATAACTGCCTTTTTGAAAAGTTGATTAATGTCTGGAATCATGTAGAAAACAAAAATGGGTAATATTGTTAGAGTAATAGCAAAACAAGACTCAAATTACTAAAATCAGAAATACAATGAAGACTGATGCTAAGAGATGTAAAAAATATTAGAAAGTACTATGCACCAACACATTGATAATCTAGATGAAAAAAAAAATCCTCAAAACCAGAATACCTATCAATAATTATGAAGAAATACAAAATCTGAATAGACCTATAAATTCCAAGGGGATTGAAAAGTAACCAAAAAAAATCTCTTTCAAAGAAAGTTAAAAACCAAGTATAATTTATGAATATTGACACAAAATTCCTCAGCAAAACATTAGCAACTGAATTTGTCAGGATACTAAAAGGACAGTACACCATGAACAAGTGGAACGTAAGGATGTTTCAACTAAGAATATAAATCACTATAACATATTGCATAAGAAAAAGATTCTATATGATCTTCCAAATTCATAAAGAAAAATCGTTTGACAAAACTCTACCTTTTATAATTAAAGATATTCAATAAAATATAGATAAATAAGTTTCCTTAACATAAAAGCTACTCATGAAAACACACAACATTCTCAATGGCAAAGACTAAAAGAATAAGACACCACACCTATCAACACAGTAGACTGAAAGTTGTAGTCAGAACAATTAGGTAAGAAAAATTAAGCAAAAATTACAAGGATTTGTTTGCAGATTATGTGACCTTACATGTATAAAATCCTAAAAAATTTACTAAAGAAGTAGAAACTAACAAAGTCATTTGACAAATAGAGAATATCAAGCTGACAGACAAAAATTAGTTGGGTTTCTACATACAAAAGTAAACAATTAAAAAATTTCATTTGTTGGGCCTCCCCTGGTGGCGCAGTGGTTTAGCGCTGGGCTGCGAAGCTGCCCGCAGCCTCTGTAGCGCCAGTTCGATCCCCGGCCGCCTGCAAGGATGCAAACTGGCGAGCCGACCTCTCCTGCTGCCCGCTGCTCCCCTCAGCGGTGTATTTCATCAGTCTGCCTGTTCTGTTCCCCACTCTGGCTCTGGTGAATTCTCTCTGTGCTTCTGACTGTACCCAGTGCTTGTATAAATAAATACATAAATCTTTGAAAAAAAATAAAAAATTTCATTTGCAATAGTAGCAGAAAGAATAAAATACTTAGGAATCAAGAAGATGAGAAAATTTTACCATAAAAAAAACCACACAACTAAAAGAAAAAACATGGAAACAAATTTCATGTTCATTCTCTGGAAAAATTAATATTGTTAAAATGGCCATAATGCCCAACACCATTTACAAATTTGATTTTACTGCTTTCAAAATCTCAATGACATATTTTTATAAAAACAGAAAAATCTACACTAAAATTATTATAGATCTTTAAGGGACTGAAACAGTACAACTAATCTCAAAAAAGTATTAAAACTATCCAAAACAGTATGTTTCTGGCAGGAATACAGATCAATGGAACAAAATAAAAAGGCCAAAAACAAATCCTCATATGGTCAAATGATTTCCAACAAAAGTCTCAGTGCTATCACCACCATGGCCTGAATTTAATCTCCACCCGCAGAGCTAACCGACATGGCATAGCAGACCTTTTCAGTCTCACCCACTGCTCCCCATAGTTGTATATTTCAGTAGATCTGCCTGTTCTAAGCCCCACTCTGTCTCTGATGAATCCTCTCAACACTGTACCTCTGGCTTACACCCCAGTTCTTCTATGCAAATATAAATAAATAAAAATCTTTTATAAAAAAGTGGCAAGAGCATTTAATGGAGAAAAGATTAGCATTTAACAAATGGTGCTGGAGAAACTGGATATTCACTGACAGAAGAATAAACCTGGCTCCTTGGCTTACACCTATGCAAAAGTTAACTCAGAATGAACCAAATACCTACATAAAAGAACTAAAACTATAAAATTCTAATTAGAAAAACAGGTCATGAAAATGAATTTAAAGCAAACATTGTAGTTATACCAGCAATATTTTTCAAAGAAATTGAGCAAAAAGTAATGAAATTTGTATAAAAGCATAAAAGCCTCAAACTGAAAAAGCAACACTGAGAAAAAAAGGAAGTATCACCTCACCTAACTTCTTCATACTTTACCAAAAGCCAACACTACTAAAAATAACAATGGTATTGGCAAAAGGCAGATATATGGGTCAATAAAACAGATTAGAAACACACTAGAACCTAAATTGTAGTAAAGCATCCATGAATATAAAATAGGGAGATCACATGTAAATGAAAGAAGTTTGATAACTTAATAGTCCCATTCACAAAAGGTACACTGATTTTTCTGTATCAAATACATCTGTTTCCACTGGGATAAATTTCTAGCAAATTTTATAATAAAATTTAAAAAAAAAAGGGCCTCCCTGGTGGTGCAGGAATTAAAGACAGCGCTAGCAAGCTATTGCCAGCCACTCCAGCTTGAGTTCAAGCCCCGGCCAGCCAGGGAGCTACCCACATGGCACAGAAGACCTCTCTTGACTTGCCTGCTGCTCCCCTCGGCAGTGTATTTCAATAGAGCTGCCTATTCTGCTCCCCACTCTCTCTGGTGAATCCTCGCACCCTCTGCACCTCTGGCTTACACCCCAGTTCTTGTATGCATGAATATAAATCTTAAATAATAAAATTTCAAAAAAGACAGGGTTTATAAAAATATAAATGATAAAATTATCAAAAATTATCCTCAGATTTCTCTAAAATCATATCTATTTTCAAATGGTATTAAATACACTAATTACCACATACTATCTTGGAAAGAAAAAAGAAACCAATTATAACATGGGTTCAATAAGCTAATCACTAAAAGCCAACAACGATTCTTCTTTTATAAGGTACTCAAAATAGTAGAAAAGGAAACAGGGTGGGGGAATGAGCAGTTATTGTGTATCTCATAGTAAAATACCAGGGGGAAATATTCTTTATATATTTGTAAGAACTGAGATTTTAAAACAGTACTCCAGATCATATCTAGAATATATTTCTTCTAAAACGCCCAGTTTTCTTTGGTTTTTATAAAGATTATAAATTGTTTCAGTAAAATATCTTATATTAGGAACATACAGGGCAAAGTTGCTTCAATTTTCTCAATAGTTTAATTGCATTTTCAAAACATTTTTGTAAAACTGTTAAAGGTAAGGCAGTTACTTGAAAGTTTACAAAGCACACTGAAAACAATTCACAAAGTTCAGTTTGTATATACTTCTAAGCAAACTGAATGCAGAGTAATTTTCAATGTTCTACAGAGCTAGAGAAAGAGTTCAAAGACCTCTAGAGACAATGAAATAATTCAATTGAGGCAAGAAAACTAATGTCATCGCTTTTGATATAAAGATCATATAGTTAGTAGTTATGTAGTTGTGGTTTTAATTTGAACTACATCCAATTGCATGAACGTGGCCAACAGCATATATCCTATTAACAAAATTACAAGTGCCTTTCCAAATTTGTTCTCCCAAACACACTGTTAATTCTAATTACCTTACTTCTGGAACTTAACAGTGTCTTACCTAATTCATTTTTTTCCTTAAAGAAAAATGTGTCAAGTTAAAGCATTACTTTTCCCAAGGCAGCTTCTAACATTTAAAAGTAAATCAACACTTCAGCAATTCCATCAAAACTAATTTGAATGACAAAGGAAAGACATAATTCTTTCAACTGAAGTCTCAATGCTACAGAACAGTATTACGTCTTAATTTAGAGAAAGTTGTACTTTCACACGATGCATATGTATACAACATACTGTATTTAGTGGGATAGTAGTGCTCAAAAGTAATCCTACTCCAAGGTTACATCACTGGGATTTAAACGTTCTACAGAGGACCCAAGGAGAGTTTGAAGTTCATTTGTGAATTCAACCAAATCTAACAGCTCCTTGTTTTCAGAATTGAAGGCTTCCAGATCTTTGGAGCATGAAAATAAGAAATTTGCTGAAACCTGCCTGTAGAACTCTGTCTCTGCAATAGTAACAATTTCCACATTCGGAAATTTGCTGCGGAATATAGAGGGTGACATTTTTAATTTTGTAAGCACATCTGAAAGCAAAAACCAGTTTCGTGGCCTGTAAAATAAAAAAGAAAAATGGTTCAAGTTCCTGGCAAAATAAAATATGATGCCAATAACTAGTGACCATCCTATGTAAATAGGATAAATATATACCAGTCGACAGCAGCAATGACAGCCAGTCTTCTACTTCAACCCCATGCCAATTTTCACCAAAACACTGATCAAAGACCATTCTTTCAAAATGAGAGAAAGTTGTTTACTTCTTAAAGGATTAAGTCTAGACTTATTTGGTTTTAAGAGAACATCTACAGAAGACCAGCTGATTTTTTTAGAAAACAGGAGGAACATCTTAACGTAAGGTGAGTTTTCACACTCACCATTCCTTCAGAGTTCACCCTGCTAACTGAAGCCTAATTCCTACCTCTTATTCTAGCCACAACTGGAGTTTTGTAACTAATTCTCATTGTATCCCATTAGTCACTGAGTAAAGCAGTATTCCAATATAAAGATACTTCTTGAAAAAAATCTCTCTCCCCTCCCATAACATAGCATAAATGCAGAAGGCTATCTTTTCTTTTCTTCCATACATCTCTACCCGCACCCCTACTTAAGAAAATTTCTGGTTATAACATGTACATATTTACTGTTTATAGCACTTCAAAGTCCAAGGATGCTATTATTAAGGAGCTTTGTCATATTGCACAGAACATACCTCTTGATATGTATCCCCCAAGAGACTGTCTCAACAATGGAGATATGGCTATATCTAACCAATTATGATATGGAAAGATCCCATGTATCATGAACCAATTAAATTTCCTAACCTTTTTTTGTGTGAATGTTGTGTGTGCAGGACTACGGTGTAAGTGTAGATGGTTAGAAGATTCACCAGAACAGAGTGGGGAGCAGAACAGGTGGATTGATTGATATACTCTGCTAAGGGGGACAGTGTGTGAGACAGGAGAGGTCTGTTGCGCCGTATGTGGGTTAGCTCCATGAGCGAACTCAGGTCATGGTGGTGATAGCTTGATAGCGCTGAGACTTAACCCTTAGGCCACCAGGGAGGCCCAACTTTCCTAATCTTACACACCATATAGTTTGCAAGTGAATCTACAATCCAGGACATTTTCCCAAAGAATATACTCTTTCTGAGAAATTTTAGTGAATGTATGCTGTGTTATGAATCTAATCCCACTGTATATAATTAATATTTTCATTAAGGAGGTTTGTGGACAATTAAATACACCATTCACCCTTACTTCCTTAAAAGGATTTTAGGTACTGTTTCCCCAGAAAGTACAGATATTTTTCAACAGCATGGTATCTATGCTCACCCCTGAGAAACAGACACTTGAACACGATAACATGGCAAGAGAGGGCTATCTGAAAATTCAAATTCAAACATATCCCTGAGAGCCTTATCTTCATTATCCTGGTCCTCTGGTCCTGGAGGATTTGCCAAAATATTATATCCAGCTTTATTTTTTGGTTCTAATGCAGAGAAGAGAAAAGAGAAAGGTGATAGCAAGCTCTATGGATATTTCAGTTATCATTAATTAAATGACTTAAGTAAAAAGAAATTTTCTAATAATACTGCTTATATTACTCAACCATCCACCTTTATTTTACCCACAACTCCAAGAAGGACTCTGCAAATCATCTGCTTCCAGTAAACCAAAAGGAACAACATTGCTTACCACACACAGAGCTTCCATAGAATTCCCAAGAACCATTAAACTCATCATCACTGTGACCCTGAAGGTCATTTAAATAATCTGGAGAAGGGGGGAAAAAAGGATGAAAAAAACCTTAAAACTAATAAATGGGTTCATCTAAATGGTAGTATACATAATTAAGATACTAAAATCAGTTGAATTTCTACCCGCTAATAATACAGTATTGAAATAAAAGATCTTAGTATACTATCATCAAAAAAGTTACTGTGATACAATCTCACTGGCATTAAGTGTAGACTTAACCAAGGAAGGAAAACACTTGTATACCTCAAACTAGATTTAAAATGTAAAATAAGCAAGAGAAAGTTTCAGGAAGTGGCATTGCACAGTGATTTCTTGGAATCACAATAATTTGTTGGAATAATACCAAAAGCATAATAAGCAAAAGTAAAGGCAGATAAGCTGAACTATATCAAACTTACAAAAGCATTAGCAGAAACAAAAGTGAAAAGGTAGCTCGCAGGCCGTGAGAAAACATATATCTGGTAAGGTGTTAATAGGCAGGTGTATAAGGAACTTCAACAATTTAACAACAAAACAACCCAATTAAAAAATGAGCAAAGGATTTGAATTGAGAATTCTCTAATGAAGATAAATGAATAAGCATATTATCCATATGAAGATAATCAAGGTTGTAAATAATCCATCCTATGTAATAAAGGATCTCAGGTATCTGCACACCCACAATCATAAATCACAACAATAAAGAGGTAGAAATAAGCCAAATGTCTGTTGACAGATGAATGGATAACAAAATATGGTAAATACCATAGAGTGAAATATACAGTTTTTAAAAATTTTGTGACATGTTACAAGAAGGATGAAACTTTCAAACATTATGGTCAGTAAAATCAGGTGGGCACAAAAGCTCATATACCTAGATTCCACTTAAAATAAGTTAGGTAGTTAAAATGACAGAAATATAAAAACAGAATGTTGGTTGCCATGGGCTAATGGAAAGGAGGAGTTAATATTTAACAAGCATAAATAATGAGTTGTGCAAAGGAACAGTTCAGATATCTTTTGCACAACAATTTAACACTAGTGGACAGTACACTTATAAATATTTAAGATGGAGATCTTAATGTTCTGTATTTAAACCACAATTATAATTTAAATTAAAAAAATAAAACCATTTATTATACTTATTATCCATTTATCTTCATTAGAGATAAGACAAAATGCTAACAGAAAGTATTTTCATTTAAATTTATAATAGGTTAGCATGTACTTCCGGGACACCCTCCTCAATTTTCAAGCACCTGTTAAAATGACTAAAACCTATATATCTGTCTTCCAAAGCACAGGCAGCAAACAACCTATATTATACCATCAACAAAACCATATCCCATCAATCTGTGGCTAAGAATGTTTCAGTCATTATATTAAAAAATAAGAATAATTTCATCTATACATCTCTTCTTTGACAAAGATGTTTGTTACAGTTTAAGTCTAATATAAAAAAATGTTAACAAGTGAGTCGGCAGCAAATTTGGCAAGTACATAACATGAAAATATAAATGTATATACTAACACAAACAATTTAGCTCTAGGTTTTTACATTCATGAAAATCTTAAAGTTTTGCTTTGGAGAGATTGCAAAACTCAGGACTTACACATTCACATTCAAATTTTTTTTTTTTTACTTTTCTGATACTTAAATTTTTAATTTTTGTCTATTTTTTGCACCATTGTTCATTTTTAAACAATATTTGCTTCTCCCACCCCCTCAGGTGTAGTCCCCATAGAATTTCTTTCCCCAAAGCACCCGTGCACCATCACCACAGCCCCCTGTGCTCCTCCCTCCTTCCCTCTGATCCCTCTCCCTCCTCCTCCCCTGCAGGATGTCTCTGGTTTATGATTGTCCATTTTTGCTTTGTTGTGTTTTGTACTGTTATTATTTTTTACACTGATGTCTTATTTGGTTCCCCTATGTTCCTGCTAGAAGTGAAACCATCTGATATTTTTATTTTTCTTCTGGCTTATTTCACTATGCTTAATTTCTTCTAGCTCCATTCAAGTCTTGTCTCACTTTTCTTGCTGGCAAAATACAGAACCACATAAGTAATTTCCTGAACACAAGATTGTCTTCCATTTCACCAATATGCAAAAGTATGAACCATATTTTAAGTTAAAAAAGCATTTGTAGAATATGTGACCATCTTTTCAAAGCATTAATGCAAAATAGACAAAATAAATGTAGAATCAATGAATAATCACAGTAAAATCAGTTAAAATGTGTTACACCACACAAAAGTTCACTATACTTTTATCCTGAAATATGAAGTTTTAAATTTCCAGATAACAGAATCCAAGCTAATTACTATTTTCTTAAAAAAATAACATTTCTCAAGCTTCATTGTGACCCACCTGACAAAAACATGTCCATAGCTTTGCTTTGACTCATTTTCATGATGCTTCTCCCTGCGTATGTAGTCAAAGTGGGGTCAGCACCATACGAAAGAAGCAAGCGGACAATTTCCAAGTGATCATTCTCGACAGCATCATGGAGAGGTCTTGGAAAAGAGGTGCAATGGGATTAAATCTGTGTACATATGCATATTTCTGGAGTTGTTGCCTTCAACAACAAGCAGTAAAGGATCTCTGAGTGTGCCACACATGCTAGCCCTCATAAGCTAAGCATTAAGCATGTCACCAAGAGAGTATATGCTCTTGGTCCATTCTCCAAATATGGAAACTGAGTCATGGAGTCCAGCCCATGATCAAATGGTAACTCACTGTTAGTTCTCCATTGATCATTTATAGGATGTATAAAGTGACAGTTTCAGGACTGTCAAACGCAAATCCATTCTAATTCAAAGCAAAACCAAAAACTTTTTCAATAACCAACTATATAAAATTAACTCACAAAGGGGATAAAATACCCTGTCACTATAAAAGTCAATGCAAAAAGCAAATTGTAATACTGCTTTGTGTTTGGTTCATTTTTTTTTTTTTTTTACAATGCCTAGGCCATTTTTAAAAGAATGTAGGAAAGAGTACACAACCTTCCATGAGACCTTGCTAGAGCCGGCCAGACCCGCCAAGACATCCAAACTTTCACAAGACAGTGCCTAGTGCCCAGTCAGACTGGCAGAGACCTCGTGACTCCCACAAAGACCTCATGACCTCTCTCTGTCAGTGCCTGCCTGGACCTATGGAGGCCTTCTGGTTGTTACAAGAACATCTGCAGCATGAGCACTTACTAACTGGACTCTGGACCCACATTTGGAAGTAAGGAGAGTAGCAACTGTCCTCACATCACCTCATAAGACCCCATCAGTTCTCACCCAAATATACAGGTGAGTTCACCACTGTGCGGCGTGCCCAGATATGTTCTGAGGAAGACCCCACCTACTGTATCTACCACCAGGTAAATGCACAGGCTGATAGGAAAGTAAGACCCATGCACAACAGAAGTCCCACATACCCAAGAGCAAGCATTTGGAGAAAGAAAAATAAATGGCCAAGCGAGTCCTCACTGTAACAATACAATACAGAGAGAAAACCAGTATCCAGAATCCAATGACACAAACATGAAAGAGCTTTGCTTCTTATCAAAGAATTAAAAATTTCCACAATTAAGTAAATCAAAGAATTATGAAACTACAATAAGAACTCAGAAAAACAGATTAGAGATATATGGGAAAACTCAGAAAATAAAAAGGAAGCTATGAGAAACACAAGCAAAGAACAAAAGATCAAGACTGAATACCCAAACAAGAAATTAATGGAATTGCTGGATATAAATGGATCAATGTAAGAGGTAAAATATATGAAAAAATTTGTGAATATAGAATAGATCAGATGGAACAACAAATTGCTAATCCTGAAGATGCACATGTGAAAAGACAGAAAAAAAGAGATAGCAAGAAAAAAAGAATGAAGAAGCATTTCAAAAATTATCTGACATCATAAGGGAAGAAAATAAAAGAATCACTGGATGCCAGAACGCAAAGAGTGACAAGGGAACTGGAAAACAATTTAAGGAAATTATCAAAGGAATCTCCCCCCAAATCTGAAGGAAATCAAAACAGGTAGCTAAGAGGATACCAACCTCCCTAATAGGAAAAATACAAGACACAAAGTTTCTAAAAACACAAGACAAAGAGAAAACAATGAAAATAATGGGTGGTATAAAACAGATAACCTGTAAAGGAAAACTGACCAGTCTGACATCAGACTTCTCTGAATAAACACGGTGGACACATTAATGGAGCAACACAATCCAAAAACTCCAAGACATAAAAATATCAGCCAAGAATATTTTATCCAGCAAAGTTACCTTTCCTTTTTTTCTCCAAAAGAAAGGAACTTCTCAAACAAAATCTTCAGGAATTTGCTATTACTAAACCTCCACTCCAAGAAATAAACTAAAGAAGTCTTAAAATCTAAAGCAACAGAGACCAGGCATGCAGGAGATTGCGTCTCCCCATCGCCATTTTAAAACAGGGAACTTTCTTAAATAAAGACTGTTTGAAACCAGCAGAAGGCTCCTGGAGGAACCAGAGGGGAGCTGGGAAGTTCTCCCACACCAGGCCCCTTCTGGTCAGCCGTCCACGCCCACGGGGAGTAGGCACCCAAGGCCGGTGCAGACCAGGCATGCAGGAGAGTGCCTGTCTGCCTCACCATTTTAGAACAGGGACCTTTCTTCAATAAAGACTGCTTGAAATTGGCAGGAGGCTCCCTGTGGAGCCAGAGGGAGAAGGTTCCCTGTGCAGTCAGAAGTAAGCTGAAGGCCCCCACAAACCTGGTCCCTGATGGCAGGAAATCAGAGCCCAGAGGGGAATCAAGCTGCCCCACCTCCAGGGAAGTCTGTTGGGACTTCAAGACACAACTTTGTAATTAAACACAAAAGGAGGAAATATTCTGTGACAGTGATCATTAACATACTCAAAGTACCACTGCCTCACTAAACTTCTGGCATAAGAGTATTTGACTCATTTAGACTGTCAGTTTCCAAAACCCCCAAAACAGCAAACCAAAAGTATGCCTGGCCAGTACCACTGGCACAGTGTCCCGACACACAGTGTCCCAACGCATATGGCAAATTAGAAGACAGGAAGCAAGGAAAAGAAAAACTACATGCAATGTAGCAACTCCACAGGAAAAAGACACACCATAAAAAGAAAACTACCCACCAGCTTGTAACAACAGCGACTTGGAAGAACTTCTGAGCCATCCAGAAAAAGAATTTAAAATTGCCGTAATGAAAAAACTGACAAAGTCATTAAGGAAAACAACACTCAGAAGAATGAATTTGAGTCTCTAAAGAGGGAAATGAAGGAAATACAGAGATCAAAGGATTAACAGAAGAGCTAAAGAATGCTGGGAAAAGTAGTGATAACAGAATAGAGGAAATTGAAGAATGAATAAGCACTCTCGAAGACGCAGAAATAAAAAGAACCAAAACAGAAATGGAAAAAGAAGTATGAATGAAAAGACTGAAGAAAGACTTTGGGAACTATCGGACTCCATGAGGAAAGGAAATATGAGAGTTATAGGAATCCCAGAAAGAGAGGAGAGAGACATAAAACAGAGAAAATACTCAAGGAAATAATTGAAGAGAACTTCCCAAACATGAAGAACGAGCTGAAAATAGACATACAAGAAGCAAGAAGAACACCAAACTTCCATGATGAAAGGAAAAATACAGCAAGACACATAATAGTAAAGCTCCCAAGAATCCCAGACAAGGAAAAAATAATGAGGCTGACAAGAGAGAAGAAACAGATAACATACAAAGGAAAACCAATCAGACTGACATCGGACTTCTCCAAAGAAACACTACAGGCAAGGAGAGTGTGGAGGGACATAGTCAACAGACTCCAAGACAACGAATGCCAACCAAGAATATTCTATCCGCAGAGCTTTCCTTCCTCTATGAAGAAAGAATAAGGACCCTCCCAGACAAACAGAAACTCTGGAATTTCAGTACAACTAAACCCCCACTCCAAAAACTACTACAAGGAGTCCTAAAGCCAGAACCTCAGAAGGACAAAGAACAGGGGAAGAAGGCAAAAAAAAAAGTTATTGAAAGAATAAATAAATGAAATCAAAGAAAAGACAAACACAATGGCAAATAGAGATGCTAACATATCAATATTAACTCTAAAAGTAAATGGACTAAATTCTTCAATAAAAAGAAACAGAGTTGCAGGCTGCATTAAGAAACAAAACCCAACCTTTGCTATCTCCAGGAAACACATTTAATTACAAAAGATAAAAATAGACTCAAAGTTAAAGGATGGAAAACAATCCTAAAAGCAAATGGACCAAAAGAGAAAGCAGGAACAGCTATACTTATATCAGATAAAACAGATTTCAAACTCATAAACATAAAAAGAGATCCCAACAGTCACTACATTATGATCAAGGGGACAATACTTCAAGAAGAAATAACACTCATTAACATATACTTACCAAATAAGGAGCACCAACATATATCAGACAACTACTGTCATCTTTGAAGACAGACATCAGAGAAAACACGAATGTAGTAGGAGATAGGAGACTACAACACACCACTATCAACAATGGATAGATCAATGAGACAAAAAATAAGTAAAGACACTAAAGCTCTAAATAAGCATCTAGAGTGCTTGGGCTTAACAGACATCTATAGAACACTAAACCCAAACAAATCTGAGTTCACATTTTTCTCAAGCACACATGGATCATTCTCCAAGATCGATCATACACAAGACAAACATTAACAGATACACCAAGATGGAAATTATACCAACAACCTTCTCTGACCATGAAGGCATCAAACTAGAAATAAACCATAAAAAGAAGGGAAGGAACTCTCCTACCTCATGGAGATTAAAAACCACACTACTGGAAGACCACTGGACTAATGAGGAGATCAAAGAAGAAATTAAAAAATTCTTTGAGTTAAATGACAAGGAGGACACCAATATCCTAAATGTATGGGATGCAGCAAAAGCAGTAATAAGAGGAAAATATATAGCAATAGAAGCTCACATCAAGAAACAAGAAAGAACTCAAAGAAACAACCTAAACTCGAAGCTCAGAGATCTAGAAAAAGAACAACAAAAAAACCACCCAAAACCAATAGAAGAAAATAAATAATAAAAACCAAAGCAGAAATAAATGAAATTGAAACTAAAAAAACAATCCAAAAGATCAATGAAACCAAAAGCTGCTTCTTTGAAAAAATAAATAAAACAGAGAAACCCCTAGCCAGGAAAAACGGGAGAAGCGCAAATACACAGGATCACAAATGAAAGAGCAGAAATCACAACAGACACAGCAGAAATCAAAAGAATAATCAGAAACTACTGTGAACAGTTATATGAAAATAAGTTCAACATCTAGAAGAGATAGACAAATTCCTACAACTCTACAATCACCCAAAGCTAGATAAAGAAGAAACAGAACACCTAAACAGACCAATTACAAGCAGCGGAATTGAAATGGTAATCAAAAACCTCCCCAAAAACAAAAGCCCAGGACCTGATGGATTTACAAATGAATTCTACCAAACGTTCATAAACGAATTAGTGCCTATCCTTCACAAACTCTTCAAAAAATTGAGAAGGAAGGGATAATACAAAACTCGTTCTATGAAGCCAACATTACACTAATATCAAAACCGAACAAGAACAACACAAAAAAAAAAACCTACAGGCCAATCTCGCTAATGAACACTGATGCAAAAATCCTCAATAAAATTTTAGCTATCAGAATCCAACAATGTATGCATAAGATAATTCACCACGACCAAGTAGGATTCATTCCAGGGACACAAGGATGGTTCAACATCCGAAAATCAATCAATGTTATCCAACACATCAACAAAAAGAAATATAAAAACCATATGATAATATCAGTAGATGCTGAGAAAGCTTTCGACAAAGTGCAACACCCATTCATAATAAAAGCCCTGGAAATTCTTGGCATACAAGGAACATACCTCAACATTATAAGGCCATATATGACAAGACAACAGCCAGTATCATTCTCAATGGTGAAAAGCTGAAAACATTTCCATTAAGATCTGGAACAAGACAAGGATGTCTTGTTTTCAATATAATACTGGAAGTCCTAGCCAGAGCAATAAGACAAGAGAAAGACATATAAGGAATCAAAATAGGAAAAAAAGAAGTTAAACTATCACTATTTGCAGATGATATGATAATTAACACAGTGAACCCCAATATTCCACAGAGAAACTAATTTAACTAATCAATCAGTTCAATAAAGTGGCAGGATACAAAATGAACATGCAAAAATCAGTAGTCTTCCTATACACAAACAATAAATTTGAAGAAGAAATAAAAAAAAATCCCTTTTATTATCAAAACAAAAAAATCAAATACTTGGGAATAAATCTAACAAAAGAGGTAAAGGACCTGTACAAAGAAAACTATAAAATGTTGTTAAAAGAAATAGAAGACACAAAGAAATGGAAAGACATCCTCTGCTCATGGATTGGAAGAATTAACATCATCAAAATGGCCATCCTACCAAAAGCAATATACAGATTCAATGCTATTCCAATAAAAATTTCAATGACATTCTTCAAAGAAATAGAAAAATTATTGATGAAATTCATATGGAATCACCAAAAGCCCCAAAAAGCCAAAGCTCTCCTGAAAAAAAAAAGAAGGGAATGGAGGCAGCACACGCCCAGACTTCAAAATATACTACAAACCCATAATCATCAAAACTGCATGGTATTGGAACAAGAACAGACACACAGACCAATGGAATCAAATAGAAAATCCAGAAATAAACCCACAGATTTATGGTCAACTAATCTTTGACAAAGGAACAAAGAATATGCACTGGAGCAAAGAAAGTTTGTTCAATAAATGGTGCTGGGAAAACTGGGTCGCTACATGCAAAAGAATGAAGCTTGACTACTACCTCACCATGCACAAAAACCAACTGAAAATGGATTAAAGAACTAGAAATAAGACCTGAAACCATAAAATACATAGAAGGAAATATAGGGGAAACACTACATGCTATTCACATCAAAGACATCTTTACAGACACATCACCCAAAGCAGTGATAGTGAAGGCAAAGATAAACAGCTGGGACTACATCAAATTAAAGAGCTTCTGCACAGCAAAAGAGACAATAACAAAAACAAAGAGAAACCCCACCAACTGGGAGAATATTTTTGCATACAACACTAATGATAAAGGACTGATCACAAAAATCTACAAAGAGCTGATGAGACTCAACAACAACAAAGAACATAATCCTGTCAGAAAATGGGCAGAAGAGCTGAAAAGAAACTTCTCTGAAGAAGAAATGCAAATGGCCAACAGGTATATGAAAAAATGTTCAACATCACTGTAATCAGGGAAATGCAAATCAAAACTACCATGAGATACCATCTTACACCAGTGAGAATGGCACATATTAAAAAACCTTTCAACAACAAATGTTGGTGAGGTTGTGGAGAAAAAGGAACTCTCCTGCACTGTTGGTGGGAGTGCAAACTGGTCCAACCACTATGGAGAGCTGTGTGGAGATTTCTTGAACTATTAAACATAGAGCTTCCATATGATCCAGCAATTCCACTCCTAGGTATTTACCCGAATGACACAGAAACAGTAATTCCAAAGGGCACCTGCATCCCTATGTTTATAGCAGCATTATTTGCAATAGCTAAGCTTTGGAAACAACCCAAATGCCCAAAAATAGATGACTGGATCAAGAAGATGTGGTATATATACACAATGGAGTATTACTCAGCAATCAAAAAAGATAAACACATGCAGCTTGCAGCAACATGGATGGAGCTAGAAGGGATCATACTAAGCGAAATAGTAAGAAAGAAAAAGAAAAATACCGGAATTTCACTCATAGCAGGAATTTAGAAAACATAAATAAGAAACCAGGAAAAAGACTAATCAATGCAAAGTAATAATCAAAAATGAACAAACAACTATAAAACAGAGACACACTATGTGTTGTGGGGGGGGTTATGGAGGGGCGGGGAGAGAAAGAACTAGAGTCAAAATAAGGCGGCGTGTGTAATTTATGAGGAATATAACCAAAAAAATGCATACATTGTACAATGATGAAAAATGATATAAGAATTATATAAAATAAAATATTAAAAAAAATCTAAAGCAACAGATCAATGAACTAGACGAACTGAACAAGCTAGTGAACAGAACCACAAACTGATGAACAAAACGGCAATGACAAAAGTCCTGTGTATTAAAAATCACCCTAAATGGAAATGGAGTAAATGCACCAATAAAAAGACGTCGATTAGCAGGCTGGCTTAGAAAAGGGAATTCAATTCTGCTGTCTCCAGGAAACACAGAGTTAGAAAAGTTAAGGGTAGAAAACAATTCTACAAATAAATGCCCCCCCCAAAGAAGGTAGAGACAGCCATATTTATATCAGATAAAATGGATTTCAAGTTAAAAATTGGGACAAGAGACATGGATGGACACTATATTATATTCCAGGGAACAATAAAGCAGGAAGACAAAATATTCAGCAATATATATTCACCAAATGAAGGTGCACCAAATACAATAGACAATTATTATCATGTATTGGAGAAAATAAATGTGGTTGGAGATTTCAACGCCCCACTCTCATAAAGGGACAGGTGAATGAGACAGAAAACAAGGATATGGTCACCCTAAACAAAGATTTAGACTACATGGGTCTAATAGACATTTACAGTTTACTTCCTCCACAAAAGCAGATATATTTTTCTTAAGTGCACAATGATCATTCTCCAGGACTGACAGCACACTGGGTCACAAACAAATATCCATAAATTCGAAGACAGAAATCATACCAAGTATCTTCTCTGACTAGAAATCAACTACAAAAGGAAAACAAGGGGATACTTTATTACACTGAAACTGAATAATATATTACTGAGCAACCACTGGCTTAATGAGGAAATCAAAAGATAATAAAAACTACCTTGAAGTAAATGATAACAAGGACATCATCTTTCAGAATGTGTGCAACAAAAGCAGTTCCAAGAGGGAAATAATAGTTATGGTAATGAAAGTTGAAACAATACCTTTGTCTGTACCGCTATGATCAGAAACATCAATACATGGACAAGACTATTTCTGCCCATTCTGTTTTCCAAAAGGTGTTTGTAAAATGTGTACTATAGGTCTAGTTAGTCAGAGGACACATAGGTTTAATTAGTCAGAGAACACTTCTACACAACATGCTAAGAGTTAAAATTTTGACCAAAATTAACCATAATTAACTATTAATTATTACCCTGAAAGTTACAGTAGATACCAGCAAAGTTACAAAGCAGTAACACTGGAGATTCTGACATTGTATCCTAAGTGGGGACACAAATTCATAGTGTTTCAACTCTACCATCTTCCCTCTCATGTTGCAACTTCTAAAGTTTTATCTACTTTGCCATCTGGAATGATTCAATGCCAGAGAATTTTACTACATATATGTTCATCTATCTTTCCTGACAGTGTATCCTACATAACTGGGAACTATTACCTGAGGCTCACCAAGACAGGTCACTAACCTGGTTCCATCCTGGGCACTGCAGTTGACATCAGCACCATATTCAAGAAGGTGTTGAACAATGCAGAGCCATCCTCCAGCACAAGCTTCATGCAGGGCACAGTAACCTGCATTGTCTTGATGATTCACATCACAAAGCTTGTTTTCAAGGGAAACTAAGACTAATTCCTGAGCAGAAGAGAAAGAGAAAAACCATCAGAACACTACATAATGAATATTCTAAGGATGATGACTGCTTAGGTTGTTAGTGCTCACTTTAAAATGCATATATCATCCTCAGGCCTTAGAGCCACTGAAGCATAGACAAGCAACATGTCTTATTTCCCCCCCACCATGTGTCTATGTAAACAGTTTACATTATAGTCAGTCACTGTGACTATTTTTAGTACTTATCAATGCAAAGGTGTTTGGGTAAAGAGTAAACTTCCATGTAAAGTTTGGAGCACTCTTAGTAATAAATGTAGCAATACTGACATGAATTTAACATACTCAGGGCATTCATTAAAGATCTTACTAATAGGAAAGGGAAAGAAGAATGATAGATGTTTAGGAAATCTATACTTTGGCTACATTCTATGAATCAAAAGCCCCTAAAAATAGTCAATTAAAAAATTTAGACCTGTAGATAGAAAAAGAGGAAATACATAGACACATGTATACCTATTCTGTAGTACACAAAGGAGTAATTTATTCAGTTTTATTAATCTTGGTTAAAAATGTTTAACATAGAATTTGCCACGAGAAAGCAAGTTACAATATTTTCTTACAAGTCATGCCCAGCAGAGAGTTGTAACATTTTGACACTAGGGGAAGTAATTAGACAGAGCTTGCAGAGACCTAGTTTATGGTAAGGGGGAACAGTTAGATGGATTCAGAGAAAGTCAATCTATGGACAACTGGTAAATAACCTAATCCTTTAAATCTAAAACACAGGTTTCACAATGGAAGGAGGAGACAGAAAAGATGACATTAGCAGTGGTTCCTGCTATAATCACAGGATGATAATCTTAAATAATTCACAGTATAATTGGACCGAGAGGATCCTGTGACTTGAAACAAACATGGAGTACTTTCTGGACATCTGCAGTCACTAATAGTGACAGAAGAAATAATGTGGAAATTCAACTCTACACAATAAAAGCAGGGTGAATAGAGACACCCAGAGACTAGTCAGAGCCTACCATGCAAATCTTGAATCTGTGTTCCTTGTTTTCACAAGTGGATCTGATAAGTTTGAAACAGCATGTCCTAAACTGAGAGTAGCTATGAGTGGAGTGAGTAGTCAGTCTATAGAAACGTGAACATGAAAACCCGAAAGACAAAAAGAAAATCGCATGATTAGATCCACAGATGAAGAGAAAGTTTTTGATAAGATTCAGTATCTGTGCCTACCTGGTAGCCTAGGGTTAAGTCTCAGAGCCACCACTATGATGGCCTGAGTTTGATCCCTGGCCAGGGACCTGACCCACAGGGTACAGCAGACCTCTCCTTTCTTGCCCACTGCTCCCCTCCTCTGCAGTTTATTTCAGTAGAGCCATCTGTTCTGCTCTCCACTCCATCTCTGGTGAATCCTCTCATTCCCACCCATCTCTGGCCTGTACCCCAGTTCTTCTACACAATATAAAATAAATGAAAACTCTTATAATAAATGAATGAAAATATAATTCCACTTAAAAAAAAGATTCAATATCCACTTGTGATTTTTTTAAAAAAAGGTTCAAAAAATGGGGACTGATGAAACATCTCAACATAACAAAAGCAATATATGATAACTCACACGTAATTGTTCTCAGTGGTGAAAAACTAAAAGCTTTTCCACTAATATCTGCTACAGGACAGGAATATCCTCAATAAGCACTACTATTCAACACAGTAGACATAGACATTCCAGCTAGAGCAATTAGGCAAAAGAAAAAAAAAGATAAAAGGAATTTAAACCAGAAAGGAATTAAACTATCATTATTTGAATATAACATGATAATGCACATAAGAAACAAAAACCAATAAAAAACTAATTAGAACATTAAATCAGTTCAGGAAAATGGCAGGATACAAAATTTATATACACTCAATTGTCTTCCTATGTGCAAACAAGCTAGACATGGAAGAAAACCTAAGAGTAAACTTAAAAGAGATGAAGGACACACACAATGAAAACTATAAGATACTGCTTAAAAAAAAGAAACAGAGGACGCACAAAAAAGAGATTCCCCGTTCACAGAATGGAGGAATTAATGATGTCAAAATGGTCTTCCTACTCAAAGCAATTCATAGATTCAATGCAATCTCTATCAAAGGTTCAATGACATTTTTCAAAGATACAGAAACTGACACAGAAAAACAAGACACCCTGGGGATAGACAAAGAAATCCTAACCAAGAAAAGAAGAGAAATGAAATGGAACTGAGAGCCCATTAAAAAAATATACACTTAAGTGTGTATTTATTTGAGTTCCTTTTCTGACTTTATTTCTGTTCCTTCTCTTCTCAATAAGCTTTTTTTCTTTCTCTAAAAAAATGCACACTTACATGGACAATTTACAATACAGGAACAAAAGAATATACACTGGAGAAAAGTATAAGGTCCAGGCTGGGGCAGAGATGGGGGCGCGCAGTTGGAGCTTCTAACACTGCCACCTGCATCCTGGGAGCCTGCTCTGCCCTATTTTCATGGGCAGCCCTTAAAGAACAACCAGTTCTGAGAGAGAAAAAAAACTTGGAAAAACAACCTCAACTCTGCATTCTTCACCTCCCTCCAAGGCTAGACCCGGCCCTAAAAAAGCTTGCCCATATCGCTCAATAGGCCTGACTTCTCCAACTCCCACGGGGGTGGGTGAACCTCACCCCTGAGCACAATAAATTTCCTGTCTGTGAGAAACTTAGCCTGGCTCTCCTTTTCTTTACCACGCCAATCCTTTCAAAAAGAAAGGCTCTGGAATAAATGTGTTGGGAAAACTGTACTGCCACTCACAAAACAATGAAGTAAGACCATTTTCCCATACCACATAAATTTTTATTTTTTATTTTAATTTTTTTTTTTAAAGATTTATTTTTTTTTTATTTATACAAGCACTGGGTACAGTCAGAAGCGCGGGAGGGTGAGAGAATTCACCAGAGCCAGAGCGGGGAGCAGAGCAAGCAGAAGGACCGAAGTACACTGCTGAGGGGAGCAGCGGGCGGCAGGAGAGGTCTGCGCGCCATGTGGGACCCTCCTCCGGTGGCCGGGGAGCAGCCGGGGATCGAACCGGCGCTGCAGAGGCTGCGGGCAGCTTCAACCCAGCGTTCAACTGCTGCGCCACTGGGGAGGCCCAGCCACATAAATTTTTAAAAAAAGATTTGTGCTCACAAGAACTGGGGTACAGGACAGAGGTGTTGGAGGGGGTCAGTGACAGGATTAACCAGAGACAGAGTGGGGAACAGAACAGGCAGACTGACAGAAATACACTGCTGAGGGGAGCAGCGGGTGAGTCAGGAGAGATCTGCGGTGCCTTGTGGGTTGCTCTCTTGCCAAGGATCCAACTGGTGCTACAGTAACTGCTGATAGTTTCATAGGTTGTGTCTTAACCCCTTGAGCCATTCACAGGAGGCCCCATTCACATTCACATTCAGGGAGCCATTCACATTCAGGGAAGCCCCATTCACAGAAATTAACTTAAAATGGATGAAAGATTTGGATATAACACTAAAAAATAATTAATTGCTTAAAGAAAACAGTCAAACAGGCTACATCATAGACCTCAGAGATAATTTGGAAGATTCATCTCTAGCAGCAAAGAGAATAAAACAGAATACAAACAGGACAACAAATTGAAAAGCTTCTGCATCTCAAAAAGAAAAGGACATCCTACTAAATGGGAGAAAATATTTGCAAAATATAAATCTCATAAGGACTGCTGATATCAAAAATCTACAAACAATTCAATCAAAAAAAGGTAAGGAGAACTAAATAGGCTTTTCTCTAAAGAATACATGCAGATGGCTAACAGGCACATTGAAAATGTTCAACATTACTTATCAGAGAAGTGCAAATCAAACAAGAATTAGATACCATGTCACATCTGTGAGAATGGCCCATATTAAAAAAGAAAACAGTAAAAAATCTGTGAGAGTATGAAGAAAAATGAACCCTCTTATACTGTATGTAAGACTATAGATTGGATCAGTCCCAAAAAGTATGGAGTACGTTCTCACTAGCTAGACTCTGGATGGCTATAAATTAATGAGTTGTATGTTTCAGTCACAAGACCCTATCATCCTGACTCTGCATGAAGTTTGAGCACCACCAACTGTTATTCTCAAATCAGTTTACTAGGATTCCAGTGGCCCATCAGGTGTCCTATCACCTTAAGATTTATCTGCAATTCCAGTTAAGTCAACTGTCATTCACTTTTCAAAGGTTTAAACTGTCACGTATGACCAAACCATTACCTAACATTTAAAATTCTACCTGAAATATCCCAGAAAGAAGCATGAAATCTTGTTATGAAAAATGGTGATAATTTACATGAGAAATACAATTTATGTACTATTTAATAATATCAAAATACTATAAATGAAATTCCAACTATCCAATCAGGA